TTAAGGTCGCTTTTTATTAGAAATATTTGATTTTGTGCTTTTGAATTATGTGACATTTTAAATTTTTTACAAAATTGATAGATAAAATATTATCTTAATATATTTTATTATATATATAGTGGTTGGAATATATTTTATATTCAAGTAACATATTAAATATAGGGTAAAGATTTTACATAAAAATCAAGTGATAAATTTGGTTGAGCTCGAATCTTTATAGGGTAAAGATTCGATTCACGTTTTCAAAACATGACCCGAAAATAATATTCAATCCGATCTATTTCATTAAATAAATTGGTTCCAAATCTATTATGATCCAATTCAAAATTAAATCTTTGATAGTTTTAGTATCAATTAATATGAACACTAACTTTGTTAGCTACCGGCATAGCTATTTCCGTACTCTCCCTATAAAATTGAAGGAACAAGGTTGATTGGATCTTGCTTAATTTTCTTAATTTAATTCCTTCAAGTGAAAAATAAAGCCACATAAAAAAGTTTGGCCTTGATGCTTTGTTTTGTTTGAATTTTTTTTATGTAATAATCCTAGATTATAGAATTGATTTTTATGTGTTTTTTTGTCTTAATATTTTTTTATGGGTGTCAAAAGAAATATTGAAGGTTTGCCATAATTGGTTAGAAGAATTTCTATTTCCCAGTTCCAAAGTTTTTATTTTTTATCTTTTTTTTTCAATTTCAAAGGTTGAATTATGACTTCAATGTTAAAGTTGAGTTATTTATTTATTTGAAAATGCTTTCACGTTTCGTATATCCACCATTATTCCATCCGGAAAGAGAAGAATGTAAAATAAAAAGAAAAAAGAAAAAGAAAAACTTTGATTTTGTTGCTCGATAATTGTTTTTTTTCTATTTGCCTTCGAGATAATTTGATTGAATTTTATGGTTAACTATTTGTTCAATTTTGATTTGTGATATATACAAGTCATACTTGTTTAAAAATGTATTTTTTCATATTGAAGTCATTCTCCAAGGGAAAAAAATCCTTTTGTCCAAAGCGACTAGAAAGTAGGATGAAAAGGGAAAAAGAAGAAGTTGGACTTACTTGTTTAAGGAGATGCGATACAATGACATGACTTCTATAAAATTATTCTTGCAAATGAATAAAAAATAATATAACTTATGGGATAATTTAATTTTAAAGTATCATATATGGCTTGAATTTTATGGATCAATAATACATTTAGTCCATTAGGTTTTTTTCTTTATAAGTATGAGGTATTTAAACCTCCTTATGTCTCTAGTGGTTCTCGTATTCTCCTATTATCAAGCTAATAAAACATCTCCCTTACCCGTGGAGTAAGCAATTTGCCAAACCACGTAAATCATGTGTGTTGATAATTATTTAGCTTTATCTTTTGATTATTATTTGTCATTACTTATCTTTTTTCTCGCTATTTGTCATAGCAAACAATTATCAAAGCATAGATTGCGCATCTTTGGGTTCTTCTTTTCCTAATTGCGGCTTTGAAATTTGATATTTCACTTTTTGATGGTCAAAATAATTTTGCTCTATTGAGAATAAAGATGAACTCTTTGTTGTAGTGAGAAGGTTCTATTAAGGCAATTGAGGATATATACCCGGATGACATGACTTCGCTAAAATTAAAGAGATGGATAGGCTCATAGTGCTTCTACAATTATCATTATCGGATAAGGTACCGTGAGAAGTCGCAAATAAAGAGACGACGATGGGAATGTGAAAAAAGTTAGAAAGCCTCTACATGAAGAAATCTCTTATAACAAGATTGTATTTAAAACAACATCTTTATACAATATAGGTGCGAAGGTACGTCTATTCATGAACACCTTTAATAAGATTGGTATGGATATGAAAAATCTTGATATTAAACTTGTTGAAAAAGATCAAGCTCTTATTAAATTGTGTTCATTACCTACTTCATGTGAGAATTTTGTTAATTCAATGTTGTATGATAGAGAGTCCATAACTTTAGAGGATGTTAAGACCTCTTTGAATTCTATTGAGTTAAGACATAAGTCTGAATGGTAAAACCATCGATATCCGGGTTGATGGTTTGCTAATAAGGAAAAAATAGAAGGATAGAGAGAGTTGTAAAAGAAGACCTAAATTCCATTCTAAGTTTAGAACACTCTCGAATAAGAAAACTAATGTTGAGTGCTACTATTATCACAACAAAGGACATTATAAATCGGATTGTCTCGCTCTAAATAAGAAGGCGGGAATAACAAGTGTTGTTGAAAATGCTAGATTCAAGGCACGATTGGTGACTAAGGGTTATAGTCGAAGTAGGGAATTGATTATAATGAAGTACTCTCTCCAATTATGAAATATACCGCTATTCATATGTTGCTTGCTATGGTGACTCAATTTGATTTGGAGCTCGAAGAACTTGATGTGAAAATAACTTTTCTCGCATGAAGAGCTTGAAAGACTATTTGTATGTTTCAACCGGATGGATACTTTGTGGAAGGGAAAGAAGACCATGTTTGTAAATTGAAAAAATTTTATATGGCATAAAACAATCACCAAGATAGTGGTACAAAAGGTTTGATATTTTTATGCTTATTTTTGGTTATTCAAGATCTACTTATGATATTTGTATGTATTTCGGGTAGTTTACATATGGATCTTTCATGTATCTCTTATTGTATATGGTTGATATGCTTATTTCACGCAAGAACATGTCAAAAATTCAAGTGCCAAATAAACAACTCAATGATGAGTTTGAGATGAAAGATTTTAGAGCATCGAAAAAGTTCTTAGGTATTGAGATTTAGAAAGAATAAAAGGGTGAAAAATTATATCTTTCACGGAAAGGATATATTGAGAAAGTGTTTGAGCACTTTGGTATACGAGAAAACCGGACTTGTCATTACTCTATTGGCTACTCCCTTTAGACTTTCGACTTCTCAATCACCTCGGAATGAAGAAGAAGAGAGAGAAATGTCGGGAGTTTTATATTCTAGTACAATAGGTAGTGTAATGTATGTTATGATCCGCACTTGTTCGGACATTGCCTAGGCAATTAGTGTAGTGATCACATATATGGCTCACCCGGGAAAGGTACATTGGCAAGCAGTGAAGTAGATTCTCAAATATCTCAAAGGTACCATAAACGTGGGTTTAGTCTTTAAAAGGGGCAATGCTTTTAAAACTTCGTTGTAGGCTTTGTGGACTCTAACTATACAAGTGATCTCGATAAAACGAGATCTTTGATAGGATATATCTTTACACTTTTAGGTTCCGCTATTAGTTAGAGATCAACATTACGAGTCGATGGTTACATATCGACTACTTGAAACAAAATATATGGTAGCAGTTGAGGTCGTGAAGGAGGCTATTTGGTTGAGAAATCTTATAGAGGAACTTGGTCTTCAACAAAAAGAAAATTTAGTTGTCTTTTGTGACAATCAAAGTGTTATACACTTAACTAAAAATCAAACTCATCACTAGAGGACCAAGCATATTGATATTAAGTATCATTTCATTCGTGAAGCGAGTTTTTGACAAAAAGATTGCGGTGAAGAAAGTTCACACTAAAGACAATCCAACCGATATGTTAACTAAACTCGTTCTAGTAAATAAGTTCACGCATTATTTGAACTCGAGTGGTGTTAAGAAAATCAAAGTGTGTTGTTGAAAAAAGAGGTTTAGTCGTGTGGAGGAGAGAGACATGGTCGTGTGAAGGAGAGAGATAGGTCGTTTGAGTTTTCTTCTCTTTCCCATGCTTCATGCTTCGCATGTGTGAAGCACTAGTCTTGTGTCCATGTGCCTTGAGCATTTGTCCGTGCATGTTGGGGTTTTGTTGGAGAGAAGGAATTTGTTAGTCCTAATGTTTAAGTTAATATTTTCTCTCTTCGCATCTATTGTTTCTTACATTGAGTTAGCTCATGTAAGCTTAGAAGTGTGTTTTGAGGAATTATTCGACATTCTTGAAGGTTTGTAGAATTCAAAACAATGTGGAGATTTGTCATATATGGTTTGAATTTTATGGGTCAATCAAATATTTAGCCCATTAGGTTTTTTTTCTTTTTAGGTATGAGATATTTAAACCTCCATATGTCTTTATTTAAGAAATAGAGTAAAAGATAAAAACTTTGTATTGAGCCTTCATGGTTCTTGTATTCTCCTATTATCAAGATAATAAAACTTCCCTTTTGCTCGTGGAGCGAGCGATTTGTCGAACCGCATAAATCATGTGTGTTGATAATTCATTTAGCTTTATCTTTTGATTATGATCTATCATTACTTGTCTTGTTTTCATCTGTTTGTCATAACATAAAGGATGGACTTAGTTGTTAAATAGTTTTGTTTTGTTTTGTTTTTTAATTTTCTTGATAAGAAAATTTATTCAATTTTTTAAAATGCATCATGTGTAGCCATCAAATCTTAATTAATATCGATATCCAAGTGGAAAATGAATTATATATTGTTATAATTTTTGTTTTGAATTAGCAATTGACAATTAATCAGATACAGCCACGAGAAAATATTGGCTTGCTACCGGTTGCCATACGGGGCTTGCCAAGGGCTATTTAAACAAAAAAGAATGGAGTCTTGACAGAGCCTCATTGTTTTTAGTTGGATTTTTTTTTCATCATTCAAGTTCCTGAAAAGTTTACATGTCATTCAAAAATAATTTATTTTTATCAACTATTTTTTTACATACTGTATATTGATAATGTCATTATTATAAAAGAAACCTTAATTAAATCAATAATAACTCAACAAGGGAGAGAAAAGAAATAAAAGGAAACTTTTAATTTGAGAATGTCTCATCATAGCAGAGAGCTTATTGCAATTAAATATATAGGAGTGCAATCATCAAACTATTAGGCTGAATAAATAAGTATTTTGTATATAAACGGGCAACACAACAGGCTGACACTTATTTTGAAAAAAAAAAACTTTTATGTAATCATGTATATCCAATCAGGGTCCTCCCAAATGATGGATAATTATTAGTTCTCGTGAACTGAAGAGAACCACTCTATGTGGCTTAATGACGAGGTGGAGCTGGTGCTGCAAAGAATTTCATCATCCCAGGATAACACTGAGTGCCATTGTCTTCACCAGAAGCAAAATAGTAAGGCCTCCATTTGTTCAGCACATAAGCAAAACCTTCACCGCTTCCTTGAGTTGTGTTTGCCAATAGCTTTGCTCTACTAAAATCACATTTTGCATAGCTCCTTAAATCTGGTAATAAATAGACACTAAAACCAGTGCTATTTTCACTCGGAGGATCATACTTGAACACTGCATATTCATATTAAAAAAAAAAAATTAAAACTATCCTTAAAGTTTTTGCATAGGAAGAAAGGATGTCGAGCGCGAAAGTACTGTGAAAACACTACTGATTACTAATTTTTCTTGTGGTTAAAAAAAAAATAAACAACTTGTTTGAGTAATTAATTCTTGCCGCAGATGTGTGCTAATCGATACTTACCTAGTGTGTCGTTTATGTAAAAAGGCCTATTTTGATGAGCCCAAACAGTATAGTCAAGGCCCAAGCCCCAATTTTCGGACCCTCCAATCACAATGGTCCTGGCCGCACCAACTGCTAACAGAGACGCGGATAATAAAAGGAGGGTAAATCCTTGCGTTGCATGGCTGAAACCCATCTTCTTTCTCGAATTTCTCTAGCTAGTGGCCTTCAGAGGAATCAAATTGAGGTGAAGTTGTTTGGCAATGAGGGTATGATCCGAAGGAGTCTTATATAGAGTTGATGTTGGTGATATTGTTCAAACCCAACGACTAATGCTTCTTTTCTTACTTTGAAGTGGTAAAATGTTGAAAACAAATATAAATTTCTTATTCAACTCCAATATTTGATATTCATTTTTTTTAAATAAAAAAAGAAAAAACTCCGTGGCTTGCTTAATTCCTTCTGTTTTTCAATGCCTTGTGGCCTTCGAGAGAACCTCATAAACCAGAAAGAAAAAGGGTTGTGTGCGTTGATGAATGAGGAAGCAATCTTAGCTAGTTATTTTAGGTTTGGTAAACTTCCATTTACAATAGAATTTTTCTAATACATTGATATGATTAGTGTGCGGTTACGGTCACCGAAAAACTACTTTGCTAGCGGTCAATCAATGGAGCTTCCTGCCTTATAAGCCCCTCTTTTGAAGTTGACATTCCCTTCAACGAGAAACTTATTTTCGCTCAGTCAAACAATAAATGGAAAGGACTTCTAGACTGGTAAGGTGGGCCACAATGAAAGCTAGGGTTAGCCCGGCTTTGTAACCCTTCATTGTAAGATGGCCGCGCGAAACAAATCCTTTTAGTTGTTTCGATAGTAGACTAAAAAAATAATAAGAAAATTGATTATTTGGAGATCAATCTTTTATTATTTTAGTGTTTAATCTTTAATTTTAATTATTTGAATTACTAAAATTTTATTTTTTATTATTTGAGTGTTTATTTGTTAATTCAGTGTGTTAAATATTTATGTATCACTATTTTGTGACACTTAAAAAAATAAAACTTAATAAAAATTACATATTTGGTGTTTAATTTTCTTTTTTCTTTTTTTTCCTATTTAGATGTCTCGTTTATAAAAGATCATCTTATAAGTAAAAACTCTAATGTTACGTCAATATGCATAGTTAATATCTAAAATTTATATAAGTTAAATTGATTAATTGAATAAATTCAAAAAACATGATATAATTAACGTGTAGATTTGACAAAATTTAGATCGATTAATTGAACAAATTCAGAGAAAAAAGATTAGTTGAATGAATTAAAAGCACACAATGATTTAATTGATGAAAAAAGGAAGAAATAAATAACGAGGAGGGATCGTCCACGTACACATGCATTAAGCTAAATGTTTTACACAATGTTACTTTTTTTTTTTTCTTCCTTGGAGAGAAAGAGAGAGCCATGTTGAGATGTTAGTAAAGAAAATCAGAGGATGTTGTATAGATTGTTCAAAAAATGGCCATGAATTGGAAAGCGAGACATTAAGAAAGATATAGCTTAACATTTTTGGGTATTTGGTAACTTTTTAGGAAAAATATTCAAATTCAAATAATTCGAATTTTTTTAATTTTTATACAATTAAAAAGAGTTATCTATATTGTATATTGTAGTATAAAATCTATAAATCTTTAGATGAAATTAAAAAAAGATTATTTACGTACTGATAAATTTTTGCAAAAGAACTTGTTAAAAATATATAATAATATTATAATAGATTTTTTTTGTAGGTTATGATTTTTAGTACTATCATTTTGAAATTCGAATTGATAAATATTTATTTTACTATTACATAGATAAGAAATAAAGATTATTTATTATTTATTTATTTTAGTTGTATCACACTTCTTTTTAGTTTGTTAGCGACCAATTTTTACTCCGTTTATTTTTATGAATTTTATAAAAAAAGAAAATAAAAATAAATTTGAAAGATAATATTTTGGGTGCTTATTAAAAAAATCAAGTGAAATAAGGACAAAAAAAAATAAAAATTAATGTGGTGTGCAATATAAAAAGAAATAAGAGATAGGATTAAAACTTGAAAGGCACGCAAAATGGGAAACTAAAGTAGAGTTTGATCATCCATGTTGAAACACTAATACTCTAGATATAAAAACTACATTTGTCCAATGAGAAATTTTATAATACACGGGAGTAATCAATGGCACATACCGGGAGTAACCGAGTGGCATATACGGTAGTTACTCTATGGGTCCATTTTGAGGAGAGAGATAGACATATAAAAAAAGATAGAAATTACATCTATACTCATCAAAAGTGATAAGAAGATTTCCACGTCCGCTCAAATTTTTTTATTTTCTCTCTTCTGCTTCTCTTTTTTTTTTTGTATGTCTATCTCTTTCCTCAAAATGTATCAATGGAGTAATTATTATACATGTCACTAGTTACTCTTGGTGTATTATAAAATTTCTCTTGTCCAATTACTATGTAGGTAGAAACCTACAAGAAGAAGAAAAAAATCCTAAAAGCAATAGCTCATCTCTTAAAAAAAAATCTCGTTAGTTGCAAACCTTCATGGCCATCTCCTCCACCTACTAGGCAACTACCACCAATTAGCACATATATGTCTCTACATCGACCAAACACCCCCTTAAAAAGAAAGCAACTTGCCAACCCGCAAACCCAAATCGTTTTTGTGTGTTCTTCTTAGAAATCGATTGATTTTTGATCAAAATAAGTTTCCAAAACAAGCCCAATGCGCTCCGTACCAAATTCTAGGTAAAATTATACCAAAAACTCACCCAAAACACCTAAAATCAAAACAAATTGGTGAAAGAAACCTCGTCCACGACCCATTTACCTCTTTATTCGGGTTACAATTCCAATCAAGTTAATGGGGACCACCACTTTAGAACTCTTCTTAGAGTGACCCTCCCTAAATAGAAATTGTGGAAGAAGACGACCAAATAGGGATTTTTCTCCATGAATTTCAGCCCTTGAAATCGCCGACCATTGCCAAAATCGAAGATTGAAGAAAAGAAGAAGAAAACTAAATCTTTTCGGCCTCCGATCTCCCTAAACAAGTAGTGACCAACACAACCACCACAAGAGGAATGAGGGGTCCTCATCTACCTTACATGACCATCCATACACCAAATGGTGGTTAAAGAGTGGTCAATGACGCTACCAACGTTGGCACATATTGTACACATGCTAGGGTCATTTTTGTAATTTCATAAACTTTTAAAGGGTATTTTTGTCATTTTACTATTATTTCCTCGGCTTTTCAACAAGCAACCATTTCTCCTCTTCAGTCGACTAAAAATAAATTAGTATTTATTAGGGTTGAAGAAACCAAACTAATCCTAAACGATGTTTTAGTCATTTGACATTCAGACATTATCTCGGTAAGACCGTCATAATTTAATGTCGTTTAAAAATATTTTGAAATTAATTATAAATATTAAAAAATATAGATTTATGTTTATATATGTTATTAAAGTGTATTGAGATACACCATAATGGTCGAAAAGTCTGAATAATCAAATTTTAAAAATTGATGAGAAATAAGGTTGATTCAATACTCTACAATGCAACTAGAAGGATGATTTTGAATTTTAATTTTATAGATTATTCAAGAAAAGTACTGATATTGGCGCGTTGGGAATTAATTGTTTGATTGGACTACTTTTGTCATTGGTTGAATTTTACCAATTATGCCTATTTGCTTGTCGATTCTACATATCGTGCATGTTTGTAGTTTGATTAGAAATCATGACCTTGAAATTACATCGGTCTAAACTTGATTAGGACCACTTTCGCCAATTTGTTTTTTTGTCAATTTTTTCATTTATGCTTATTTTTTTTATTGAAAATTGCAAAGCCCGAAATTGCATCTATTCGAGTTTAGAGTCGGATTGTTTCAGCTTGTTTTTCTCGATGGTGCATGTTTTCTTGAAAAATCATGATGCTTGAATTCATGTCGAGTACAAACCTTGATTTGGATCGTTTTTGTCGTTTCTATTTACTTTGTCTAATTTGTCGCTTTTTTTGTTACTTGTGTGTTTTAAGCCATATGTCTTCACGCATCTCGTTAAATTGCATGTTTTTACGCATAGCTAGCTTTTTAAGTTGTGTTTTCACACATATTATTAAGCTGAATGTTTTATGCGTACATCTTTCTCAAAGCCACATGTTTTTGCATATATCCCTATTAAGTCATGTTTCTGCACATCCAATCAAAGTTGCATGTTTTTGCGCATCTCATTAAAATGTTTTTCCACGCATCCAAATCAAGCTGTATGTTTTCATGTATCTTATTAAATTCTATTTTCACGCATCCAAATCAAGTTACATGTTTTTGCGCATGTTGTCAAGTCATGGTTTCATGCATTTGAAACTAAACAACATATTTTTAAACGTGATCACTCGTTTTTATTTTTATTAAATTTAATACTCACTCATATGAGAGCGAGAATAAGGCCTCTAATCGATCGAGTCCTCGAGTCGGTTTATCGGATGATAAATATTTAAAAAATAGGCATATATTTTTATCATAAAAAAAAAAAAAAATCAAGTTAAGATTTGTTTGCAACCTAGTTTGTTTTAAGTAGCACGAAGTATGATAATTTTTAATCTTTTCTACGCATAATCAACTCCTTATTTAAAACTACGAGTAGACCAGCTATATAGCTTTCAAGTGACTAAAACTCTTAGTGATGACTCCATTCTCTATCGATTCCCTATTTTTGATTGTTGCCTCTCTATGTTGCTCTTTGACATACTTCAAGATAAATTTTTCTTAGAAATATTTGATTTTGTGTTTTTGAATCATGTCATTTTCAATTTTCTACAAAATTCATAGAAAAACATTATTTTAATATATTTTATTATATGCATAGTGGTTAAAATATATTTTACATTAAAGTAACATAGTAAATGTAGTAAACATACATTTTCTATAAAAAAAACAACTTGATAAATCGGTGAAGCTCCGAATCTATTAAGATCAAGATTCAAATTCATATTTTCAAAACTATATTCGAACATAAGATTCAATCTAATTTATTTTATTAAATAAATTAAATTTAGATCTTCTGTGATTTGATTTGAATTTGATCCGTTAATAGTCTTAGTGCCTTTTAATATAAACAGTAACTTTGTTAGCTGCTCGCATAGCTATTTTCGTACTTTCTCTATAAAATCGAAGTAACATAGCTGATTGGAATCCTGCTTATTCGTCTTAATGTAATTCCTGCAATTGAAAAGCAAAGCCTCACAATGGAGTTTGGCCTTGACGCCTGTTTTATTTCATTATTTTTTTATGTAATATTCTCGATTATAGAATTGATTTTATGCTTTTTTTTTTTTTTTTTGTCTTGATAATTTTTATGGGTGTCAAAAGAAAAATTGGAGGTTTGCCATAATTGAGTAGAAGAATTTCTATTTCCCCAGTTCCAACGTTTTTATTTTTAATCTTTTTTTTTCAATTTCAAAGGTTGAATTATGACTTCAATGTTAAAGTGGAGTTATTTATTTATTTGAACATGCTGTACTCTTTAAAAATGTACTTATTCATATGAAAGTAATTCTCCAGAGAAAAAAAATATTTTGCACAAAGCAATTAGGAAGCTGGACGGAAAGGGAAAGAGAAGAACTTGGACTTCCTTGTTTAGGGAGATGTGATACAATGACACGAGTTCTACAAAATTATTCTCGCAAATGAATAAAAATGAATATAATTTATTAGATAATTTAATTTTAAAGGATGGACTTAGTTGTTAACGAGTTTTGTTTTTTTTTTAAAAAAAAAAATTTATTAAATTTTTTAAAATGCATCATGTATAGCCATCGAGTCTTAATTAATATGGATATCCAAGTGAAAAATGAATTATATATCGTTATGATTTTTGTTTTTAATTGGCGACGGACAATTAATCGCATACAACCACGAGAAAATGTTGGCTTTGCCACCGGTTGCCATACGGGCTTGACGGGCCAAGGGCTATTTAAACAAAAAAGAATGGAGTCTTGACAGAGCCTTATTGCTTTTAGCTGGAATGTTTTTTTTTCATCATTCAAGTTGCTGAAAAGTTGAAATGTCATTCAAAAATAATTTATTTTCATCAAATATTTTTTTACATACTGTATATTGATAGTTTCATTATTGTAAAAGAAACCTTAATTAAATCAATAATAACTCAACAAGAGAGAGAAAAGAAATAAAAGGGAATTTTTAATTTGAGAATGTCTCATCATAGCAGAGAGCTTATTGCAATTAAATATATAGGAGTGCAATCATCAAACTATTAGGCTGAATAAATAAGTATTTTGTATATAAACGGGCAACACAATCGGCTGACACTTATTTTGAAAAAAAAAACTTTCATGTAATCATGTATGTCCAATCAGGGTCCTCCCAAATGATGGATTATTATTAGTTCTCATGAACTGAAGAGAACCACGCTATGTGGCTTAATGACGAGGTGGAGCTGGTGGTGCAAAGAATTTCATCATCCCAGGATAACACTGAGTGCCATTGTCTTCACCAGAAGCAAAATAGTAAGGCCTCCATTTGTTCAGCACATAAGCAAAACCTTCACCGCTTCCTTGAGTTGTGTTTGCCAACAGCTTTGCTCTACTAAAATCACATTTTGCATAGCTCCTTAAATTTGGTAATAAGTAGACACTAAAACCAGTGCTATTTTCGCTCGGAGGATCATACTTGAACACTGCATATTCATATAAAAAAAAATTAAAATTAAAACTGTGCTTAAATTTTTTGCAGAAGAAGAAAGGATGTTGAGCGCGAAAGTACTGTGAAAACACTACCGATTGAAAAAAAAAAAACTTGTTCGATTAATTAATTTTTGCCGCAGATACGTGCTAATTGATACTTACCTAGTGTGTCGTTTATGTAAAATGGCCTATTTTGATGAGCCCAAACAGTATAGTCAAGGCTCAAGCCCCAATTTTCGGACCCTCCAACAACAATGGTCCTGGCCGCACCAACCACTAACAGTGAGGTGGCTAATAAAAGGAGGGTAAATCCTTGCGCTGCATGGCTGAAACCCATCTTGATTCTCAAGTTTCTCTAGCTAGTGGCTTTCAAAGGAATCAAATTGAGGTGGAGTTGTTTGGCAATGAGAGTATGATATGAAGGAGTCTTATATAGAGTTGATGTTGGTGATATTTTTCAAACCAAACGACTAATGCTTCTTTTCTTCCTTTGAAGTGGTAAAATGTTGAAAACAAATATAAATAAGTTTCTTATTCAACTCCAATATTTGATATTCATTTTTTAAAAAATAAAAAATGAAAGAACTTTGTGGCTTGCTTAATTCGTTTTGTTTTTCAATGCTTTGTGGCCTTCGAGAGAACCTCATAAACCAGAAAGAAAAAGGGTCATGTGCGTTGATGGATTTTTGCTAGTGAGGGAGCAATATTAGCTAGTCATTGTGGGTTTGGTAAACTTCCAATTACAACTAGAATTTTTGTAAGCCGTTGATATGATTAGTGTACAGTGACGGTCACCGAAAAACAACTACTTTACTAGCGGTCAATCCATGGTGCTTTCTGCCTTATAAACCCCTCTTTTAAAGTTGACATTCCCTTCAACTAGAAACTTATTTTCGCTCAATCAAATAAAAAATAAAAAGGACTTCTAGACTACCGGTAAGGTGGGCCAAAATGAAAGCTAATGTTAGCCCTGCTTTGTAGCCCATCATTGTAAGATGGCCGTGCAAAACGAATCTTTAGCTGTTTCGATGGTAGACTGAAATATAATAAGAAAACTTATTATTCGGGGGTCAATCTTTTATTATTTTAGTGTTTAATATATAATTTTAATTATTTTAATTATTAAATTTTTTTTTATTATTTGAGTGCTTATTCGTTAACTCAGTGTGTTAAACATTTACGTATCGCTATTTTGTGACACTTAGTAAAAAATAAAAATTAATGAAAAATAATATATTTGGCGCTCAATATTCAAAAAAAAATTTCTATTTAGATGTCTCCTTTATAAGAGATCATATCATAAGTAAAAAGTATAATGTTACGTCAACATGCATAGTTAATATCCAGGCTTTATATAAGTTAAGTTAGTTAATTGAATAAATTCAAAAAAAGATGATATAGTTAACATCAAGATTTGACACGATTTTAATAGTACACGTACACACGTAAGTAAAATTAAATGTTTTACATAATTTGTTAATCGCGGATCTCTTTTGATTTAACGGCTTGTGTAACGTCAATAATAGTGAATAATTCCTATGATCTCTCTCTCTCTCTCTTTTATGACACTTCTTTAGTAGTTGCATAATAAATGTTTTCACCAATCATGAAAGATTGTAAATGGAGAGGTAAGAATAATGTTTTTAACTCACCAGGTCAGAGCTTTATAATTAAAAAGCTCTCTTCTCTCAATCCCTTTTTTTTTTTTTTAAATTGAAAATAGATTGTTGATGGATTTAAAAAGTTCAATTCTTATGATCAACTTAAGACCAAGCATGATTTGGTTATGTCATAGATCAAAAAGTAAAAACCTAGTCTTGTTTGATGCAAAGGCTAGTTCGATAATACTTTTTTATTCGTAATATCAAATCTCAAGAGCATGAATTTAAATAGTTCGATTTTTAGAATCGATCCAAAATTAAACATAATTTGATTCTTTTCTAGCTCGGAAAATAAAAATCTAATCTCATTTTATGCAAAAACTAAACCGAGAATACTTTATTAACTGTAATATCAAATCTCAAGAGCACCTCATTACATGTAATATCAAATGATAACAATAAATAAATAAATATTTCCATCAAGTTAAATTAATTAGATTTTTTTAGGACGCAAACAATTAATCTTTTGATTAAGAGACCATAATTTTTAAATTAATTTATCGACAAAAATTATACTTAATCAACATATTCAGCAAAAGAAAAAAATTCAATAATATGTATTCTTAATAATCTTAAAATTCAGAAGTTGCTTTTTAATGGGGACTATAAAATCTCATTGAGTTTGACATTAAGTAATGTTAGATTGGAACAAAATAAAAATAAGACAAACATTTCTATTTTATATTGTTTGAAAATTTAAACAAAGGATATGAGAAGATGGAAAGGAAATTTTAATATTGTATTAATATGTTATGATCATTTAAATTTGTATGTTCAATCACCGTTTGAAATCCAAAGTAGGCCGTTATGAAATCTAAGCTTAGCCCATAGTTAGATCACAGCCCAATAGGTGCGTTGGTCCTCTTGCTGCCATCTATCATGGCTACTGTGGCTGATTGCTCCTTTTTTTTTTTTTTTTCCATCAATAAATGTTTGCTTTGGTTCGATACATATGTTCCTCTCTCACTCACGCACGTAGAGTTTTCTTTGTTTGAAGCCAACCGGAAACCCAGAAGGTATGTATATAGATGCAGACACTTCAATCCATTTTAACTTTTTATTAAGCTTTCTTTCCATTTTAGTAAATCCGAAGAAGCTCCAATTTGTTGAATTTAGCTTAGGGTTTAAACTTGTTGGTTTTTGGTGTTAAAACGAACCTTTAAGGCGTATTGCATATTTTTTACAGTTGCTGGGTTACTCTCTTGCCTAATTGACCCAATTAACTTGGCGATACAACTATGGGTTTGCAATTGTACTAGAATTGATGATACTGAAGTTTATTCAGCTTTGTATTCTCAATGCTTGTCGGCATAGTGTCTCACTGTCTTAATTGTTTATTTTATGCAGTAAACTGTCTTAAGTCTGGACCTTGTTTCAGTTTTGGGTCGGAAAGGCTCGGTGCTTAGGTTTTGTAACTTCGGGGAAAAAATCAGATCGCAGATGAAAATGGGTCCTGTTCCTAAACAACCTCTGTTTTGCCCGAAATGGCCTTGGGATGTTGACCAACACGCCAAAAATCCAAATGCCTGCACCTTTGAAATTCCTTGGCTGCTCAGGTCCTTGCAAAGTCTTGGATCCGTTGCTCTTAATTCCTTGAACTCGATTTCAAAATCCTCGAATTCTTGGATCACTAATTTTAATCCTACCAATTTGGGTGCGAGAACTGGCCAAGATAACTGTTTGAAGAATCATAAAAGGGTCTTGACTCCTGACGAGCAAGGATGTGCAGAGCAAAGAGCATTTGCCTCAGCACTAGCAAGTGGAAAGGATGCTACAGTGCTTGAGTTCTATTCGCCTAAATGCAGGTTGTGCAACTCTTTGCTTAATTTTGTCCTCGAGGTAGAGGGTAGAAACTCAAGTTGGCTCGATGTTGTCATGGCAGACGCAGAGAATGAGAAATGGCTGCCTGAGGTATCGTACTCACCTTCCTGATTATGCTGTTGTGAAAAGAAGAAATTTGAAAATTTAAAGGGTAAAATGAGGAATTCTCCAACTGGTGCTGTTATTTAGTTTTGTCCAATTTTGCCTTGTCAACAACAATTACATTGTTTTGTTATGTGATGGAGCTGTTAGATTTGATCATTGTCGATTGCCACTCAGATCGCTCTCAAAAACTGTGACCTCTGCGTGGCCAGCAGAAATTTGTCCAATTCTTGTAATTTTTGGATTCATGGCATGTTAGATAATGATTAAATATAAAAACAGCTTGAACGACTAGATTGATGCAATGATCTTATAGGTCATGACATTAAAATATGGTGGTTTTTTGACCTATTGCTTTGGTCAACATCTTATTGAGTTGGAGGTGTAGGCCAGTAGTCAGAGAATGCTGTTTCTGAGCATTGCAGTTATTGAATTCTATTGCATACCTGATGTCATAACTACTCGATTCCCCTTTTATCCCCAAACTTCTATATACCGTATTTGTCTTATCTTCATCTACTAACCATCTAGCTACCATAAACCTTCATCATCATAAGCCTGCAGTCGAGCTAGTGGAATTTTGACGTGATGATGAGACTATCCCACAACACAAACAAATACTGACACGTTTATCTGTTCCTCTGCTTGTTTAAGTTTTTAATCTGGTTTGTCTCCGAGACTAGAATTGGCTTTAGTTTGCTAAGATGCACTGGCTGATTATTTTTTGTTGATTGTCTGCAGCTACTTCATTATGACATAAAATATGTTCCTTGCTTTGTCCTGCTGGACAAAAATGGGAGGGCACTGGCAAAGACGGGAATTCCAAGCAGTCGGCTACATGTAGTTGCTGGCCTCTCTCATCTTGTCAAAATAAAGCGGCCACAGAATAATAGTGGCTGACTATATTTTGTTTCCAGATCAGCTCAAATCACTATGTAAGTTCTGACGACATGCATTTTGAAATACAATGCATTAACAAGGATTAATTAGTGTCGGGAATGACAAACAACCATAGGAAGCTGATTGTATGCCAAGGCTTTTAAGTTCGAACATAAGCAGCAACAGTAATGCATTCTTTTCTTTTCTTTCCCTTTTTTTTTCCGTTCTTTCTTTCTTTCTTTTTCACCCAATGAACAGCCATGGTTTTTGTTGGAACAAGTATATTGGCAGTTAGCTTTCTTGTTCTGACTGGGTTCCAACAAGTTACTAACCCCATATGTGGTTTCCTATCTCTTTATTGCTGTGGACGTTCATGTGAATCGGCAGGTGTTGGACCAGTCAATCTGAGGAAAGTCAGGCACGAGCACAAAATGATAGCAGATAGGCTTTCAGATTACCAGTTTTATCGCTGGCTTGCTTATGTTAGGAAAGCGTACTTTTTTCTTCTCATGGCATGGGAGCAACGGTCAAGGACTTTTTGGAGTTCCAAAGCTAATTATGCATTTTTAAGAATTGGAGGACGAAGAGATTATGGGATGAAAACTGTGTATCCAGAGCCACAGGATTTACATTGGAAATTTTGAAAATCTAATTCGCGAGTTAATATAGCCTTTTATTAAATTGCACTGCCTGTCTCCACCCCGTTGGGTTGGTACCAGGGTGCGCCGAATTTAAGCAGGTCCTTGGCCTCCCGGGATGGGAGTGGGGGGATGCAGGCTTATGCTTTTGCGTTCGTGGGCAAAGAACAATACTTACCGGAAATGGAATGCATGTTGAATCTTCTTAAAAGTACTAACAGTGAACAAGGTAAAAAGAGTACACAGTTCTCCTGATTTTCTATTCCTTAACATGAAAGAAAGCAAGTAATCCACGACTAAAAAGGGTGCCAAGTCCGAAGCAATAGCAATTTATTTTAACCCAGCAATAACAAGTGATATACCTACCCATGGTCATAATACATAAGCAATAATGATCGAATGCATACCTTTAAACAGTAAGCAATAACCCATCCAAACAATAAATTATGATATGCATAAGACTCTGGAATAAAGCTTTTCCCCACTTCAGTGGGCAGAAATAACAAAAGTAATGTAGGGTGGGAATGAAATGCAAGTCAAATCTTCTTAAGACTAAGACAGGGAGCAAAACAAATGGATACACAATCTTCCTCAACGAAGTAATTCTTGCCCAGAAAAAAATGGTGCCAAGCAACAGCAATTTTCCTCTGATATATCGTGATATCCCAACGTCACAAAATGTGTACATAGTTACAGTTCATAAGCAAGTAAGCAACAATGCTCCACCAAATACAGTCAATTACTAAGTTAAACGTCCCACGTTTAAGAATCAAGATTCTCAGGTGGATATTGAGGAGATTGCTCTTCTTGCTTGGTTTCTTGGGTTTGGGCAGGCGTTGAAGCTGAACTAGAGGTGGCAGGCACACTTGACCTTTGTAGCGGAGGGCTAAGCCTTCCATCAATGCAAGAAGAGCATTTTCTCTCAGCCCAACTCTCCATATCGTACTGGCCATAACCCATGATTCTCCTTCCCGAGCAGAGCTTTCCAAACATAACAGCAAGTACACCAAAGACCATGATCACAACAAGGACTGCAACAACCGGACCGATTGAAGTGTGCGTTGTGTGAGTGTTGAAAGATTGCGGGGTTATAGACACTGGTGGTGTTTGCTGGTTTAACGGCATTGACATTTTTAGCTAGCTAGCCTTGAAATGGTTCTTACGAAAATTGAGCAGAAATGCTTTAAATCGGTGAAAATAGGCTGATGCGGAGTAAGCTGCTTAGATTTGGACAAGATTTTAACTTGAAAATGCGGGGGGACATGGAGGAAAAGACAGTGCATAGAGAAAGGACTTTGAATGTCTTGTTTTCGAGCAGGTAAAAGCTCTTGAAAAGAAACAAAACCTAACGGATTTTGAGTTTCTCAAACACGAAAGGGCAGAATCTTTTGAGTTGAAACCCAGTGGTAGTAGCATCGACCTGTGTAGCTTGAAACTTACCAGTGGAGAAAAGAGTAGATGGAGAAGTGAGTGCAAATGGGCTCTATCTAGTGCTTAAAGCCTTAAATGAATAAATTATATCTGGGGTAGAGAGAGAGAGAGAGAGAGAGAGATTGTGTCTAGAGAATTCAAATAAAAAGGCAAGAAAAGAGAGGTCACAGATCTACGCAGTAGCAAAGGTCATGGGTTTCCTTATTTTATTCGTAAAAAAATTGAGTAAGAACCTTAGGACAGTAAAAGGACGAAAGGAAAAGGAGAGAGTAATCAGAAAAGTTAGGGAATCTGAAGGAAGTAACTGAAAAAGTCCAAAACCTTTTCCTAGATAAGCACTTTTCAAAATCGTCTACGAGCTTTTGCAGGATTTCTCTGTTACTGTAAATATGATACCATAGAAAAGAACCTTAACCATTTTCAATTTCAAAGTTCCACTCCCTGACACCAAAACGCTCACCTTCAGTGCGTGCGCACCACTGTCCATAACTCCACAGTCCACACTGATTAATCCTTCTTCATTCTCCAAAAAAATAAAAAATAAAAAATAATAATAATAAATAATAACCCGGCCCTTTTCTTTTAATTGTACGATTGCAGGTTGTTAACCTGTTATTACTCAAGGACCTTTTTTTGATATCATTGAAAACAAAACAAAAAACAACTTAATTATTTTTGAATTTTATTTAAAAATCCATAAAAAAAGGGTAATTGGTTGTCAAGATTTTTGAGCAGTTATTATAGTGGTTATTAATATCACTTTAATATTTTAAAACAAACAGTTTTTTTTTCTTTTCGAAACCAAAGAACAAAAATCAAACCAGATTCTAAACTATTAAAGGGCTCCTCGGTTAAGGGATTAGCATACTTATTTAATAATGTAATTTGGAAACTTATTTAATTTAGTGGAAACCCTTTTTGTGGAATTAAGGTTGACTTTCCCTTGGAGAATCGAAACGATAATCTCTTCTCAAACAGAGAAGCTGGTGCCACTTTAGAATCCCATTAAGTACGAAACCCTATTTTATTGTGCATTCTTCCTCGTGCACAAGTGAAGAACTTCAAACATGACTAATGTCTTCAAAATTCCAAAGACATCCCATGTTCAAAATAATAGCAGTAATTCTTAAATATTAACGTTAAATTACCTTTCTCAAATGCCATTTACGTCTAATTAGAAAAATAGAATGGCTTTAAGAGGGAGCCGACGCAATTGGCGATATGAGCTGGGCCATACAACCCAAGAGACTTGTCTCTCGGTAATTGCCCTTGTAAAGAACAAAACGGATTTGAAAGCAGCCGAATCGTCAACCATCACCATTGCAGCCGCACGTTGAATTATTACCAGGATAGTTTCCTTTTCAATGTGTACGACTGGCCGTTTTTGGATATCTTTGATAATCAGTTAAAATCAATCGAATGCCCTTGTGATTCATTTGTAATTTAGTCAGTAGGTTACATGGGCTTGAATTAGTTGCGCCATATTTTACGTGTAAATTCCAACTGATTTAGCCGAACTGGCTATCTATCTTTTGATTCAGTTAGTTACAAGTTGGCTTATAAATCATAGGAGGGGGGCGGGGGTATTCTGTTTTCATGTAACAGAAAGAACAGAGATTGAATCTTCAATGGACAGACTTCTTCTCTTCTCAAGAATCAGACTTAGATTCTTAGCACAATTCTTAACGCAATCCTCCTTTTGATTAATTGCTCTTTTTAACCCTATAATCTACATTACAATAACATGATGCCAAACAGACAACGCAATCCAAGTATCATATTTTCTTGAGTACCCATTTACCAAATCAACAAGACACAGTTTGGCTTCTTTTTTTTTTTTTTTTTTTTGAACCAGAAGCAAATGTATTTTCTTTTTCTTTGTTCTTATTGAACCAAGCCAAAACAGGAAGCAATTGCATCTCATTGTCACAAGAGCAGGTCACATTCTGACATACATTCATTGTAGGAGAGTTCTAGTGAGAATAACGCACGGAATAAATATTCCATACAGGATTCTATATTTTCATGAACATTTGACCAACCATTTTCGGTTTACGGAAACGTCCCCAGGGTATTTTTAGTTTGACAGCACCCAGTCACCGTCCCCACAGCCAGCGATTCATAAGCCGTACAGCATACCTAAGATGTAATGATGCACATTTAAAAGTTCTGTTGGTTGCTGACGGTATGAGAAGACAAGCCTCTCCTTCTCCATCTTTTCTTCTCAACCAATTAACGGTCCTAAACATTACGCAAGGCCAAATGATTTTCAAACGGCGTTGAAGTTCAAAACTGACTCACGAGTCCAAACGGTATCATCTACCACATGGATACCCGCAACATTTGCATGCAGGTCATCTTTGAAAAGTTCACCAGTCCTTAAATAGGCACCTCGGCATGGTTTGTCCAAAACAAACACCATTGGCTAAATTCATCCATAGAAAGCATAGTAGAAATTACCAATGCTCCTCCGGTTCTTGTGGTTCCAAACCCTAGCAACCAACGCACAAGCATTGGTGCCAGCAAACTAGACTTTACCTTGTGTTATGAGGATGCATTCATTAGTAAAGATTGTTTTGCCAGGCACATCTTAACATTAACTGTCCATAAAGTGCCAAATCACATGTACAAAAATCATGTTGACCAAGGACTAATTGAAATAACACTAAGGGACAAATCACCTTGGTTGAATCAACTGAACATTACAAATTTTGCATTTCTCGACTTCTAAGGAAAGGAATATACATTAGCTAGAGATTCCAAATATAAGCGTGGTATTCTAGTTCTAGGAGATCATCATTTTCAAATTCCATCTACCCACTTCAAGTGTCAAGACTTATCTAACAACGCCCAACTTAAAACTCTTGTTGGAGTTCATGACTCAAATCACCAGGCAAGCCTGAAAAAGGGACAAGCTTTGAATACAGTACATGATATGATATGCCATGCATATGCCCAGAAGGGTTATATGGGGTTTACCTAAAATATCTTCCGTCAATACAAACTCCTAGGACGATCATTATGTCGCATCCGGCATTATTGTACAAAACCTTAAATGCTAACCAAGTGTTAAGAATGTGGAAGACAAGATTCTATGCTTAGGTACAGAACAATATGTTTGGGCCAATAAATCATATAACTACATAATATCAATCCATCCCAGAATGCCACTGTAGGGAAGACAACAGGTAAATAAATGCATATCACAAAGGCGGGCAAAACAAGCAAAGAAGTCGCATCACATCCAGCAAAAATTAGTGGTAAGAGGAACGAACAGTTAGCTGTTCTTGAACCATCTTCCAGGCTTCAGTAAGGGTATCTGTGTAACAAACTTCCATTGCCCATACATTCTGCATGGATTGCAGGGTCATCTCCATTTGCATTAGGTGCTCCTTTTCAAACTGATTAACCGCATTCAACTCCATTGCACTGGCAGTAACAGTCTGTCAGGCAAATGGATGTGATATAGTGTTAGGGAAGCTCAAACCAAAATTTAGAATCTTGCTTATATATGAGTATAGACAAAGCAAAGCCATCTCATTTTGCTATCGGAAATATTGATTTTCTAATATTTCAGATGACTGGACGGCGGGTGGATTGATATAGAACTAAACTTAAATTTTTAATTTCTGGATGATTCGCTATCCAAAAATCCAGATCTTGTACTTTTATGGTACTTCAGTGGTTTAATTTCCCCCAGTGAATTTGTTTCAGATATGCTATATACTTACCCAAAATGTTCCAAAGCAAGCATGGAAAATTATGAACTTCACGAGGTTCTCATCTGAGCTGCTGATGTCATCATCTGAACTGACAGAAACAGTTAAATCTTGATACGAAGAATCTACCATTGACCCATGGTTTTTCACAATAATCCTCTTATGCTTCTTTAAAATCCTTGCAAGATGACCCATAGTGGTTTTCCAGGAACTCTTGTCTGTCCCCACCCACTTTAATGTGCAGCCACTGCTTTCAAATGCTCTCATTGGAAGTTCTTCATGCAGCCTTAACAAAGTTGCGGCTCTTTCAGCATTAGCCCAGCAATAACATGAAGAAGATCCATCATCTATAAATGTGAAGAGAGGATAACACATTCAGCATGTATTTTATTTTCTTGAACACAGGAAAGAATTCCTAAATGAGGTTTGATTAAAGCTGTTTACAAGACTGCAAACACAAATACAATGTTTTGACTTTCGAATATATCACTAGAGAGAGATGACACATGACGGTCATGCAGGGAGAGACAAAAGTGATCAATGCTTTGTGGCCATGATCTAAAATGCTTTATATAGATGAGAAATAACTTACCCAACACAAAAGCTGCGAGTGGAATGTCAACAAAATGTTGCCTGGATTGAACTTTTGATAGTAAATCATATTTTCTGTTCTCCAGAATCAGGACATGAACAGCAACAACCTATCATAACCATGAGCAGGCAATCATAATTACAAGCATTTTACGCACTTAATGTTTACTTCCTCCTATTGGGAATAATAAAATACAAAGGAAGGATGCAATTAAGAGAAGAAACAGATAAATTCATGAATCTAACAAAGATTACCCTGCAATTGAACTTAACAGGCTTGCCCTCTGTGCATTTAATGAATTCTGAAATCATAACAGACGAAAGTTTGTCCAAAGAGGCAGCTGATGATTTATATAAATCAAACCAGAAATCAGAAGAGTTTTCATGGTACACCTCATTTGCAACACTTATGGAGTTGATCACTATAAACGAAACAGGAGTCAGCATCAATCTATTTGAACCCCTGAAAAAACATGAAACAACAATTGATAGTACACTAACATCATACTAAACCATAAAGGATCGGTTTAGGAAAGGGTTTTATGAAGAGGCAAAACACTGAAGGATAGATAACCCATTCTGTAAGCAACAGATTATACATGGATGATATCACAATAGCACAACTCAAACCTAACAAAGTGTGAATACAGATTGGATGTAACGCACTGTCATTATTACCATGCAAAATTTGAAACTAATAACAATCTACACAAAGCCAAGAACCCTGTAAAGAGAGAGCCAAAAAAGATCTTTCGTGTATAATCCTGCATAATCTCGAATGTTATCAGTTCTGGTGCATAGACCAAATAATACAAAGCAAGCAAAAGTTCCTAGATTCATGAAGATATAGAAGCTAACAACTTCTGGAGAAAAAGAGGCATTTACTTATTACAGAGATGGTGTGAGGAAGAGTAATGAAGAAAATTGGGTTTGCTTACAGCTGAACTTCCTGACCATAGATTGTGAAAATAGATATTTCAGGAACCCTACATTGCTTCATACCACATTCTACTGTAAAAATGAACTGACAAGTGTTATTTTGGACACTGACCAAGCTATCACCCACCACCCCAAAACTAGGGCCCAATTTGTCACCATTTCAAAGCTAACAACCATACCACTCTTTTCAGACCAGTAACTGCAAATGCTACTCTTTTTACTCAATTTAGTGAAACTTTAAATGAAAAATCCCGTACTCATCTGCACTTAATTTGTTATCTCGGCACTTACAATCTAATCTTGTCCTTTTCTGATTCAGAAGGATACAGTACGAAAATAGATACTCAAAAGGCATTTGAAGATGCCTTTTTACAACTACCTCCTCTGATAGCTGGAAGTTCTTTTTCTTTCTTTCCTTGTTTTTTTTTTTTTCTTTACATAAAACTACTAAAACATCTTTTGATACACAAGGTTTAGAATAAGTGTGGCACCAGATCAGTGATGAGAGCTGGTGAGATCTACATTCCAAAATTAAAAATGAAACATTATAGTACCAGCAAAACCATCCATATGCGATGCCATAATAAAGTGGAAGACCAATATAATTCAAGCATTACAGGTTACGACTTTTTTGGATTCCATACCTCAATTTAAGAACTCGATGAAATGTGGCATTCACACCCGCTCCAAATCCAACAGCATATGCATGTTTTCTCAGAGACCCAAAAATTCTCACCTAATAGAAAAAATAATGCAACAAGATGGAACAATTATACATTAATAAAAGCAGAGAATAGATCAGAAAACACAACTTCCAGGTTACAGAGACATTGTACAAGGCGATTACCATTTGCTTGCCCACTAAAACATGGATACAATAACTACTTGGAATCCGCTGAAAGCATCCCATGTGAGGAATGTCACTCACGGTGTCACAGCTTGAATGAGCATTGGCCAAATTGGAGTCTAAACGATGAAATGTAACCACATTGCCAAGCACAGATACTAAATTTCCTTCAGGAGAAAGGCAACTAGAACAAGATGATGCAAAGGGCATATTAGATGCAGAAATTTTGGTCAAAATGTGAGGAGATCCATTAAAAGCATCTCCTGACATCACAACTGGCATGAAGCCCTCTTTCATTTTGCTAAGCTCCAGTGCCAAAAGATGCATCATATCAGCAGAGAGATGAAGCAGAACATCTGAAAAACATTCTGGAGAATTTCCAGTAGACCTCTTGAGAAGTAGTTCAACTTGATCTCTCATCAGAACCTCTTCATTGCTGAAAGAAGAATCATTGCGAGGAGCATCATCTAATGATTTATCATTTGTAACAATATCATCAGAAGAGAATGAGAGGCTCCACAGATGCATTTCAGAAGAGATGTCAATTTTACCACTGCCAATACTGTTGCAGTCCTGGAGACAGCAAAAAGATTCTTCTTTATGGTGCTTTATTATATAGTAACCCTCAATCTGCAGCAACTGGAATTTAGATGAAAGTTAATGCAAGTTGTCCTTCATGGTAAGTAAAATAACAAAACTATCTTATCATCCCTGCACTGGATGAATACCAAAAGCCTGAAAAATTGAGGGGCACAGGTAGAAATCAAAGGAGAAATCTGACAAACCTGATACTTGGATAAAATGTCAGCACTGAATTCCACCAATATCTTCCTGCCAATTGGTTTATGATCAGCACCAATCTTTACCTTGCACTTTGTGCAGCACAACTTCCCTGAACTAACCAAGTTGTGACCTTTGGCATTTCTAACAATGGCCAAACATGGAATTTCATGAGTAGAGCTCAGTTCTCGACATTTCCACTCAGTTGATTCCCTAAGAGAACCAGAGCAAGTGCTCAGCTCACTGCCAACATAGCTGTGATCATCAACCAAATCTAAAACAAAATCCTGGCTTGATGTGCAATCGATTTTACACCTCTTATTGGGTAAATGTTCTTGGTAATTCTTGCCAATATAATGTCCCAAGGTTTCATTCAGCCAATTCCTTGAAATCTCACCTGAATGTGCAATTGGATCTATGCCTGCAATAGACAGGTCCCAAGGCAGGACAATAGCCTCAACAAATACAGTGTCCCTGTTTGGTATCACTGGATCACCTTGTAACTGTGGACATGAATGTGGAAAGATCAGTATTCCGTAACTGAACAAAGCAATATAGTTATTAAACATGCAAACATGACCTCCTTTTTCTCTTTTACTTTTTTTAACTTCTCAGACTCATGCAGTAACTAAAGAAAAAGTTACTTGGAGCAGCTTCACAAGCCTCAACAAAACTTCATTAGGCAGATGCAACCATACCTGCTGTAGCACAGGATATTTGTGTGAGATCCAAATTAAGTGAAATCTTCCACTTTGAAGTTCCTGAAGATCGTCATTACAGGAAACAGGGGGATAAAAGCAAAGATTTTTGCAGGTTTCCCAGCTTAAGTTAAAATACGAATAGATTGTCAAGTTCATCCTTCTTGCCTGTGGTACATAATGAAAGATACGGCTGCATGAGAGAGACTCACTGTTGAGCAATCCCAAACAATCCATAACTTTAGGCGGGCCTTCCATAATGACACTATATTTAACAACCTGAAAAGTGAAGTCAAAACCAAGTGACTCTGGATACTTGAAAAATCTATTTGAAAGATGAGTGCATATAAACTATAAACTTTAAATACATTAAGCAGACCCAGGACAAGATGATGGACAAAGGTTTTGGAAGCATTATTAGCCACACCTCATAGATGCTGCTGGTCTTCCAAGTGGATGGAAGGTCAGGTATTAGAACATCCATGCTGCCAGTTGCATCAACCAACTGCAACCTTCCAGAAGATGGAGAGATCTGGATGATCAATAAAAATATTTATAAAATGAAAAGTAGCTTATAACTTCACGCATATCATCTTGACATAATCCGCAAAGATGGAGAAGTGCCCAAAAAGTGCAAGACGCAGCATCTACACAAACAATGGTGCACTTATAAACAAACTAGCCACAGATATGCACACTCAAACTGCATATATTATAAATAAAAAAAAAATACAACAAGCTATCATTTTGTGCACTCATCCTCATATTAAATTTTTTTTTCTTTTTGTATAAATCTTATTGGCACCATTATAGACAGCAGTATCATACAAGTCAATCTATATCAAAGATCATTTTTGCATATCCATCCTCATCAAGCTGAGTTTTACAAAGATAAGTTTAACTCTTTATCATCTTTACACAAACTTATTGAACCTAGGTTTGGAACTGCAAGTACATACTTTTCCTATTTGTTTATTATTACCCATGCATTCTCTTCTTAACCAATAACCTGAACCATTGCACCAAAGGCGCCCACTCCTGCCTCATTTACATGTTTATCCATTAATATATCAATAGAGCAAGAAAACAATGCCGTGCACAATTGCCTATGTGTGTCAATCATTCACATTTGACCATAATAGCACAAACAGTAGCATTAAGAAGTTCTGCATGCTCTACATTGAAGTTACAACTCTAACCTCCAGATTTCCAAGCAAAAGGATGCCTATATCTTCACTTGAAAAAATCATCCTCAATGGCCGACAATTAAATCTCCTTTCATGTGACAAAAAGTTGAAGTGATATTTGTCATGCGAAGTATGACAGTTCTTCAATGCTGTTCTCATCCACATGTTCTCACAATGACCGAGGAAAATTGAGATGGGTGCCACCTGAAAAAAGAGAAGGAAAATTAATGTTTTGCTTTCATATGATCATATTGGCTAAAAAATGATAGGACCACTCGATACAGTCAGATAAAATCTGCCATCACATGAGCTGAAGCAGGCTGTTGCAAAGATATTTTAAATGAGGCACTCAGAACTAGAAAACTTACCAATTTTAGGTTACCACGATATGGCTTGCTACCACAGCCACAGGAATCATGCCTGCAAAACTCTGTCAGTACCCCAAACTGCCAAAGGAAAAAAAGAGAAAACACTCATTACAAAATATAGGAAAACCAGATATATATAACTAAAAAGACTTCTATCAGTTTCATCTAACTGTGGATTTACCAATTTACCCGAGCTTGAAAAATTGATGCGGGTAGATGTGATCTAGCAAACATCTGAACCAGTCCTTCCTTCTGATAAAACCTTGCAACCATCCACATAAATTTAGTATATGATATCAAGATTTAGATGGATGTGGAAAACAATAAGAGGGCAACAAAGTAAAACAAGTAACTCCATCCAGTTCTTAAACAGAAGCAAAACCTAAACAGAGTAAATTACATGCTTGGATCCCAGAATCTCCTTTTCAGATAAAATCCCAGCAAACTTCTTTCGGAAGCATGAAACGACAAGTAGTGTCCTGAAACTCAACCATCATATGTGAAGTAAATCAATTAAGAATGCTATGCATCTCCAATCATCTAGTGAGACTATTGAATTTCCCATAAGCAAGTTCAACATTCCATACCATAGTCTGGCAGAAAATGTCAAGGAATCGATGAACTTTCCCAGCTGACTCTGTGACTGTGAGACTATATGGCATCTGCAGCAAACAATCACATCAGTAACATACACACGGAGCACAATTATAGGTTTCAAAGAAGTTGCATAGCTTCCATACATGTTTTCCTGCCCCTCAGCAAGAGACAAACCTTCAAACTATTAGGGCCACAGGCAAAAATTAATACAAAATCAGTACGGGGCCTTTATCAGAAATGGTCCCATTCAATTTCCATGGGAAATCGGCACAAGCCCATAGTACTTGTTAATGGAAGTGAAAGAGATATAACTTAGTAGCCCATACCCTGTTTCCAATGGGGAGAAGGACGCCACAGTGATACTGCTCTTGAAGCAGGCCCCAAGTATGAGAATTTTAGTCCAAGAAAATTTTGGATTAACAAAATGGACATTCATCGCTAATATCTACAATAAAAACCAACAGTTTAGAAGAAAAATCATGTCACTACTGTCATCAGTTAACATGATCAAACTTTAATTGTACAAGCTGAAAGTTAAAGAGGTTAGAAAATTTAGTTCACTTACAATCGCACCCTCCCTGAGACTATGTGGTGCAGTAACAAGCTGATCAGTTAATAAAAGCCACACTTCTTTATCCAACTCAACGACCATCCCTTGCATATACACACCTTTAACAACACCAGTATAAACACCACATTCCCCATTCCCCCCAATAACATTTCTCGAAAACGGTAACCATTTCTTCAACACTCTTGGCAAATGCAAAATAGAATATTCCGTAGTCACAAACATCAATTGAGACTCCTCTTTCCCTATAAAAACTAACTTCTTTTTCAACCCGGATAGCATAATCGCATTCCCTACAAGCTTTGTAATCACAGGATGCCAACACCACGAAGCACCACAAAAATACACAAAAAAAGGTTCTATAAAAGAATGAGGGTCATTTCCTTGACCTAACCTGTGCAAAAACATAATTGATTCCGTAGAATTACACAATTTACACTGACAAACCATAATTCGTACAATAAACCCCCGAAGATTCTGTGATTTACTATCACCAATTGAACACGGAACAATGAAAACAGGACTTATCGATTCAATTGGACCCATAACGCTATAACGTGCCTTCAATTGGTCTTCCTTATTAGAGGGCGAACCTGAAACTAATGGAAATGAATCTAATGAACTTGAACTGCGAAATAGTACACTACTAGTTGAATCTACAAAACTCCATTTGATAATCTCTAAGAATCCACCACCACAGAAATGTTTCAAAGGAACGAAATTCCAAGCCAGAACTCGAATCCTCTTCCCGATTATATTGACATTGAAATCAAGAATATCACAGCAGATTGTGGATGAATCATCAGAGAATCGAAAGCAATTCCTGTTCGGACAACTTAGGGTTTCGGTTGGGAGAGTTAAAGTTCCGAGTAAGGTCGCTGAGTGGTTCAGAGGAGTCAGAATTTTGGGTTTAGAGTTAGGGTTAGGGTTTGTGGAAGTGGAAGTAGAAGGCGGTGGTGGTGTTTGGAATTGGGGTTTTTGGTTAGTTGATTTTGTTTTGGATTTGAGAGAAGAAGTAGCGGTGAGTGGTTGAAAACGGAGGACTAGCTCTTTGATCGTAAGCACTACAGCGGTTTCTTCCATGAATTTGCAATTGATTGACGAGTCGATTGAGGAAAGCAGGGTGTGAAGGCGGAAAGGGCAAGTTAAGTGCAACCAGAGTGGGAACCTGTAGATATTTTAAAGACTCATCATTTGGGGCCCGCTAAGATGTGTCTAGGCCGAATGTAGGAAAAATGGGTTTGATTTATTGGGGCTGTTAACCTGGCTTTTGCTTACACCTTTTTGGCCAATGAAAAGAAGATGTCATAGGTGGGAGGGCTTGGTTGGGACAGAGATAATAGTTTGGAGACAAATTTGTCCTCCTAAATTTAATTTCTTGCGTTGCCCTCGCACGGCAGCAAGAAGGTCGACGCGTTCCCATCGAGTTAGTATTCCTTGACACGGTCAATGGGGAAGTTCCTCCGAAGTTCAAATTCGGGGAAAGGATGAGGAAAAACCAAAATGGGCACTGCCCTTGGATATTTTGGCACGAGTTCCGAGAACGAACAAAAGATTGGTTTCAGCTAAATTCAAAATGAACACGCATCTAGTGGAACTTGTATCCACTTGCAGAAAGGAAGTCAAGACGAGTAACGAAGTCCGCCTAATACGGGGTTGAGGGTTCCCATTTACCCAGAGCCAGACAATGATAAAGCGACACTTCGTTGTAACAGATACCAACAAATTTCATTTATGAATAAACATGCATACAAATAATCAAATACATTACTTCTACACTTTTTCCTTTTCCTGCTACATTGTTGTACACTGTTCCTATATACATCAATTATCCTTTGAATCTCAATCCTTTCTATTTATACAAACACTAACCCTAGGGAAGATTGAGAAAATAATTTCAGGAGGTATTCAGAAATAATAAATTGAACCTCCAATCAAATGTGAGTCATCCAATCACTAAATGGAAATCTGAGAATCTCCATTGGAACTTTGTGGCTTTCCTTCTACCTTGCTTCCATATCTCAAGACAATGAATGCGTACTTCAGATATGTCGAATTTCCCTTCCACGATTCCTTAGATGCGCCAAAGGATGGTTGTTTGCAGCACCACCATCTGGCGCATTGCTAGAAACATTTGAAGAAGAGATAAAATTATGTGAATCACGAACTAGTTGTGCTGTAGATAGATAAGGGCGGGCTTCGAGTGTTGAACAAGGGAGGCGATGAGAAGTTGCAGCACAGTTGAATGTGTAAACGTAACTTTGTTGACTGGTCTCGCTGTGGATGTAAAATCACAGAAATAAAAATAATTACACTCAATGAAACTAGCAACTGCAGAGGAGTGGAATTAATAAATAAGTATCATGCAAGTAGTAGTCAAAAAATAAATATACTACCTACTACTTGTCAGTTGATGGTTCCTCATCCGCACGCATGGGGAGGTTTGCAACACATCTTTTTCTACAGTGTAATCTCTCAAACGCTGTGGATTATCCTATAAAAAGGACCCAAATAATTAGCATACCAATTACATGCACACTTTTAGGGTTCAATGAAATACTTTTAGCTCAATTGATTAATGAACTGGTATTTGCTACTAACCAAGAGATTCACTGTAGGTACTGGTTCTCTGCTTGCTGACACATTAAGATCACCTGATTTGCACACAAAAGGATGCTCAAGTAGCATCATAGCTGATGGACGCTCCACTGGATTTCTTCGAAAGCAACGACGAAGAAAATCTTTTCCCTCTGGTGACAATGCATCCGGGATAGGTGGATCTTTATACAAAATCTTGAACATAGCTTGAGCCTGATATGTAGCAATCATTGAACCCAAATTCTGAATCAGAACACACATGAAAACCTCAAGTTGAAGAAAGGAAGAACGAATGAACCTATACTTCTTATTCAATGCTTAAGAGCACGAAAACAAAACAAGGAACCAATCAAGAACTAACATGCAAATTACACAAACCAGTATGGTTTGTTGTATGATAAAAAAGTAGGTCAATTGACTTTTCCATGATAGAGCCCACTTAAAATAGGATCATATATTTTAGGTAAGTATTCTTTTTCAATTTCATCATTACACAATCTACAATAACACCAAGGAAAGAAAGGTGGTTTGGTCAAAGATTGAATGAATAACGTATACAGTTTGAGCATTTATATTTGCAATTGGGCTTCTATTACCAGGCTCTCCTATCCCGTTAAATCACAACATACATGATGCAATATCTTATTCTTCAAAAAAGATAACTATGTTCCACCACAAGCCATGTCATCACTAGCAAGGAGAAACAGTGACGAGAAGTTTTCGGAGCAATTCCTTTCTTCGTGAATTACTTGAGAAATAGTAGTCTTTTACTAAAGGTCATGTTGAAAGTGCAATCAAATAGGAAAAAGCATTGGAAGGTAATGCACCCCAGTCAAAAGATCAAGTTCACGCTCTCCCAAGGCATCAGACCAAATGCTCCAAGACCTAGTACCTTAAATGCACGGTAAAAAAATGAATGCAGATCCATTCATTTTTTAAAAGCAAACAATGAAAGTTTAGCAATATAAATAGAAAAGAAACTAAACCACAACAAGTTTTCCGGTGAAAATGTTATTTCCTTATATTCCACATCCAACCAAAAGTGAATACATACTTAACAATCTGACCATAAGTATCTGTCTAATTTTTAGAAAGCTAGGATGTGAATAAATAAGGGGACAAAAGTCTAGTTACGAGCTCACCCCCTGAAGGTCACCCCATGGAGGTTTGCCAGTAAACATCTCAATGATGGTGCAACCCAGACTCCAAATATCAACGGCCAAAGCAAGTTCAGGATTGCAATTTTTCAGCATCACAGCTTTTATGACCTGAATAAAAGAATAAGTTTAAAGAAAATGCATCAATAAGCCACCCAAGCACACCCATGAGGTATGCATCTATAAATACTTTCAACATGAAGTACCTCTGGAGCCATCCAGTGTGGACTGCCCTTCAAGGACAAATCATATGATAGTCCTGTAAGCTTTAAAAAAACATGAATTAAAAAACAAAAAACCAGAGTGAGAAAAAAGTACAGAATTTGTAATGAGAACCCAACAAAGTGTTCGAAGTTATTACAAAACTCACATGTTTTGCCATCCCAAAATCTGTGAGCTTAACAACACCTGATGCATCAACAAGCAAATTTGCACCTTTAATGACCCTGTAGAGCATAATTTTTCAAATTACTAAAACCACACAGCAGAAAAACCTCAACTTTATGACAGATACTCGTATATCATTTCTACTCTCTAATCATGGCTATGTGATAATGATGTAGCTCTTTACAAGATTCTATTTTTTCACAATTAATGAAAGACATTTTGGCAAGGTATGATAACTGCCTGTTTATGGAGTACAATTTTCCTCTTTGTCAAACATGAATCACCCACCTGTGGACTGTCTTTGTACTGTGCAAATAAGCCAACCCAGAGAGAATATGGCGGGTGAAATTGCGGACTATAGATTCTGTCATGTGTCCACAATGTTCATGGACATACTTATTGATTGAACCGGGATTAATGTACTCTAAATAAATGTAAAATTGATCATCAACCTGGACACAACAAAATGCTCCCTAAATCATCAAACCGGAAGAAAATTATAAGCACCCAAATTAAACTAATATATTATTAGAGGGAACCAAGGAATCTCACAATCTCACAGCCATAATATTGCACTATATTTGGATGCTTTAGATCACGGAGAACTCTAATTTCCTGCAACAAGTGGAAATTGAATCCCAAACAACTTGATTAGATGCGGTTTCTGCATTTGTCCTCAATATCTGCAATTATAAGGATGGATGTGGTGAATTGAAATTGCTAAAATGCCTATAAGGAACTCCAAAGATAACCTGCTCCAGCTGCTTTATACATTCAGCAGATTTAGGATCATCAGGGACGATATTAACTTCCTTCATTGCACATAAGGCTCCAGTCACTCTGTCAAACAAAAGCAACCAATTAATGCTCCCTGCAGAAGAAGGTCAAGAAACAGGAACCACAAAATCTTTAAAACTACTTGCTTACCGGTTGGTTCCAATATAAACTCTTCCATAGGTACCAGATCCAATAAGTTTTCCTTTCACCCACTGATTTTTTCTTACTGGTACATTTAGTTTTTCCGACATGTTATGGATGGCAGTTGGTGGGGATGGCATGGATTGTGAAGGTGAAAATCCAGGAGGAAGAGGCAACGGGTGAGAACTTACACGACTACTTTCAGGCCACTCCTTAGAACTTCCCTGACACAATTTATGATGTGATGGAAAAGAAAATTTATTTTTGAGGTTAAGGTAGGGACTTTTTAATGTTGGGCTATGAAGTGGAGAATGATCAGGACTAAATGCAGTTTTAACTGGTGGCACTCGTGAAGAATGGCTTGCAAGCCTACCCAAATCTGGAATCTCCAAAGTTGACCGAAGCGGATATTCTTGATGAGCCACAAAAGAAGGTAAAAAGTCTCCGGTGTATGATCTTTTTGGGCTAACAGGAGCAGGACTTGGGAGTCCGCTTGTTGGAGCACTCCTGGGTGAAGTAATCAACCTGGAATTGTGATTAGCACCTTCAATAATTAGATCATGAGACAGTACCCTGTTACAATTGCCTGAAGATTTAGCAGACTGTGTAGCAGCATGAGAAGCAAAAAGATCTGTGGCATTCAATCCACGTGGACTGGCAGAAGGACTTGAGAAACCACTTGTCGGAGCACTTCTGGCGGGAATTTTCAGTCTTAAGTCACGATTAGTGCTTTCAACATTTGCGTGCTGAGAGAATCTCTGACGAAAATTGCTTGAAGATATGGCAGACTTTGTAGCAATGTGATCAGTGCTATTCCTGATGGTTCATAGCCAAATCAATAGAGCAGATCAATGTAGTGACATATGCATAGCATGTTATTCACTATGCAACTTAATATACGAAAATTTTGTGACAAAACACAGCAAAATCAGCCGTCACAATGTTTAGGTTTCCAAAGATTGCCTCCAAATCCTAACCTCCTCGTAATAGATTACCCTATAGACTTCATGCACGATACACAAGAGCAGAATTTGATCCCAGTACCTTGAAGTAATTCAATACCGCGCAAGTGAATGTTGACTTGCCGAATGAAATATATCATCCAATTACCAAATCAAAATGTATCTATGACCTTTGATTTTTCATTTGTCTCAATATCAATCTTTATATTATTTATTCAAATTTGTTGGCATTGATTATTTAGAGAGGGATGTGCATACATTCAAAGGGCTGATTAGCCTTATCCTTGCAGTCATGACCTATAGTTGAATCACGTTTTTTTTTTTTTTTTTGTGTTCTTGGTTACAAAGGAGTGACTTGAATCCGAGACCTTGAGCTACAGGTTCATTGGCAATCACTTAACTTAAAAAAGAAGGAAAGAAAACAAAGAACAAAAATATTTATGCTGCTTGTGATTGATGCAACTGCCTTCTACTATTTGTTTGGTACTTTTTTCTTCTAGAAAAAAGGAAAAAATAATAAAAGAGTTCATGAAAAAAGTCACTACCAAATTTAGAAATGAAGGGGGAAAAAAAAAGAAGCAAAATGATCTTACCTCCTTAACACATGGTTCGGGCCTTCTCCGGGTGAACCGAGATGAACCTGGCCCAAAATCGAACCCAACAACTCCCGTCTCCTAGTCAAAAGCAATTCAGGTACTGGCAATGGATGCGGGATGGCCACCGAAGACCAGTGATCGGTCCCGCCCGGAGACCGCGACTTTCTGGCGGAATCGGGGTCACCAGGCGGCGAATTTGGCCGGTCCGTGAAATTCAAGCCAAGGTCCTGCTCACTGACATGCCTAAGCTTCCTCTGCCGTTCCAGCTTCTTGTGCATAAAAGATTGGCCGCGGGTAATCCCGGAATTACCAGCAGTACCACAGCAATTGTTGTTGTTGTTGTCTTTTGTGGAATAAACAGAGGGAGATGATGGCAGAGAAGAAGAGGAAACATAATTTTTTGAAAAGAAAGGCATTTGGGAGGTTTGGAGAGGAAAGAAATGAAAGTGTTTGAAAGCTTCATGGGAACGATTGTAGTAATCGTTGCTAGCTGTCACCTTGGAAAGAGAGGTACTACATAGGTTGTTTCGTTGTTGTTGCTACTTACTTTTTTGTCAAGTTCTGAATTTACTTTTTCAGTCAAACTGTGAACATGAGGATTTGGAGGAAAATTAGAATCTGACTTGCCTAAGCTCAAACTATGTTTTTGGTTTTAAAGGTTAGTCCTGGTTTTGTTCTAGTCCACATTCATAAAGAATTTTTATTATTTATATTACAATTAATGAGGTATTTTGAGATCAGTTCGTATTTTTCTTTTTTGGACTAAATCAATAGAGTATTACGCTTCTTGCAACAGTTAATTCTAGTGATAATTTTATCAGATATTTGAATCTAGATAATATCGTAAATAACTTCACATATAGCTACAGCTAAGCCTTAAAAAATAATAATAACACAACAGGTCAAAACTCCTTAGCTTACAGTAGTTGTGTTGAAGAAATGACAGCAGTAAAAATGAAAGTAGTATACACGACATTGCTCTACCTACAAAGGTCAACACATGTGACTCGCGAAATGGACCCTGAGAGAGATAGTTTAGAGTTTTGGTGGAGGGGAGAGATAGACTTCAATTTATTTTACTTTGTTTTATTCTTTGGAGAGTATTTCTTTGTTTATTTAATTAATTAACAGTGACTACTTATTATTTTAATCGGTTGGCGAAATCCCACGATGCACCCTGAGCGTACAGCAAAATTACACGTTGGTCTTCAAGGATTTGCTTTCCTCGGTTCTACGAGTCCTTGCATTGCATTTCTCGGGAAACTACATATGTACCCTAAATTATTTTGTGAATTTACGATTTAGTATCTTCAATCTAATACAACTATAAGAAGATATTGCTTTGCTACCCTTTTTGTTATTTCTGTTAACAAAAATGAAGTTCTAACGTCAAATATATGGAGGGATAGCATCAAAAGGTTAGTGACAGTTAAGAGACAAACATTGTTGAAAATAAACCCAGTGCACTAAATTAAAACATAGCATATAATCTGAGTTTTGAAATCAATGGCTGTGAGACAGTCCCAAGCCATCTTCTTGGTATCCATTTGCACTATTATTATATGCTGCTGGTCACAGCAAAGTAGGGATGGCAATGTGCTATACCCATCCCAAAAAATTTCACTCCATGCTCGTCCCGTTTTCCATTCGGGACAAAATTTTGAGTATCGTTCCTACTCTAAATGAGACGAGATGGGACTTTGACAGACGAGGCAAATTACCATCCCTACGACAAAAGCATTGGACGTTTTGCTTTGTGAAATCTTTGTTTTTTGTTGGTTAAAGAAACAAACAAATGATACTAGTTCTTTAGGTAGACATGGACCTCAGCTTCAGAGCCAATTGATAAATTTGTAGATCAAACTTAACTTTGCCTTGTCATTACATCCGTCCTGTCGAAATACCGATAAAATATTTGTAACCCCACGAAAATCTTTAACGAGATATATATATATATATATCGGAATATTCGTGTAAATATACATTAAGTACGAGTGCAATTGTAGGTGTCATTTTAATTATTTGGTGATGATGATTATTTAGCATTTATGTAAAAATTTTGGGGCACTTATGTGAGAATTTTAAGGTGAAGTTTCAAATAAATTAATCAATTACCACTCATTATATATTCAATACTTGGGACATGTTATACAAGTGAAATAAGGGTGTGTATAAATTTTTGAGAATGTTGGAATATTTTCTTAGAAATTGCGGAATGGAAAGGAAATGAATTTTCGAGTTTAGGGGGAGGGATTTCTAAAATTTAATGAAAAGAAACGTGTTTAGTTACTTGAACTAGATTGGTTAGGGTGTTTAGTTACTCTAACCAATTAATTAGGACACCTAAACCCCTCTAATTAATGTGTTAAAGCCAACTCACTCTAAACCTTTCAAACCTATCACCCTCTCTCTCGTGACTCACCAATAGCTTTCTACTCTCCCAAATAAAATTAAGACATTTGTACATTTAATTGATGCTAAGATTTTAAGCATGTATATATATAGAATAAGTGAAAATGGAAGAAAATTTTTTGGCGACCCATAGCTACACAAACAAGAGAGAAAAACGGCAAGAAATAGAGGAAGCGAAGGAAAGAAAAAAAATAAAACAAAGCCAAGGAAATTCTAACTATACCTAAGCTAAGTAAGTGGGTTACCTTTTTCTTATTTATGCTATTTATTTAATCTTTATGCAATTGACTAAACTTGTGTTTAAGTGGTGATATGTTACCGTGATTCGTTGTGTTGAGTGATTTACCTTGTAATTCTTATTGGTATGGTTAGTTGTATTAATTGGTTGTGTTGGTTGCTTCCTAAAACTTAAAAAGCCTTATATATGATTAAATTCATGTTTAGGGGGATGTGAATGATGGAATTGGGCTGACCAAAACATGGTGGGTCAATTTGGGACTTGTATAGACTTGAATAAAATGGAGAAGGAAGGAAGGAAGGAAAAATGAAATTTTAAGGTTCTTCGAGTAAACTTTCGATCCGGATAGTTACACAATCTCCCACATGGGCGTGTCCTTGCCCGTGTAATGAAGAAATGTATTTTTCTTGAAGTCAAAGAGTTATACGGCCTCCCACACGAGTGTGTCCTTGCTCGTGTAATGAAGAAATGTATTTTTCTTGAAGTCGAGTGTTACATGGGTGTGTCTTTGACCGTGTAATGAAAAAATGTATTTTTTTTAAAGTTAGACGAGTTACATGACCTCCCACACGGGAGTGTCTTTGCTCGTGTAATTTATTAGTCACTCGAAATGCATCATTTTTACTTCATACTTGCTTGGTTTCCATTCCTTTCACCAAAATAACGTAAATAATGATCAATAAGACTCAAATAGATATAAAATGAAAATGCAAAAGTATACCTTAATATGAGGAGAAAATGGGTTCAAATGCTAATAATTAAACAATTCAATAGTGGAACAATTTAATGATTAGAATTACAATAAGAAACAAAAAGAAAAGTATCCACATACATAATTAGACCCATGACTCAACAAATATCATTTGTCGGTATTTCATTCTAACGAGGGGAATATAATGATAAGGGGTATGAGTATGTCCAAAACCTTGTGTGGGTTGGACTTATAAAAATATTTCATGATGATAAGGAGGTATAAGTGCGCTCGAAACCCCGTGTGTGTTGGACCTATCAAAATATTTCATGATGATAAAGGGTATGAGTATATCCAAAATCTTGTATGGGTTGGATATGTTTAATATGGTACACATAACATCACGTGCATCATGTGCATTGTGGGGCGGATGGAGAAAATTCAACCGATTGAGAATTGGTTTCATGATTAGGTTTGGTAACCTAACATGAATAAATAGGTATTAAGCGATCCAATTGTGTGTGTATTCTAAGTTGTGTGCTCGCACTATTAGACGATGGACTCTCGCTAACGAGTGGCTACAACGAGGGATAATTCGTTACAGTAGAAGGTGATTTGATAATCACCGGCTACAACGAGGGATAATTCCGTTATAGTAGAAGGTGATTCGATAATCACCGGATTAAAAATAGAGTAGACTTGCTAATACTCGTGGTACCCGAAATTAAAAATTGATGAGTATGGTGGGAAGTCGGAAAAGCATTGTATATCACGTGCATCACCTCACTTGCCGAGCTTCGGCTCATTTTGTTGTTATTTGCATGTTATAACGAGTAGCGGTGACTTTAATACTAATAAGGACGTTGTCGAATCCTCCGAAAGGGCTCGGGGGTGACACAATCTTAGGGGATTTTATTTTGATTATAATTTATTCCGCTGTGAATATTCTTGTAATGTATTTTTGTATTATACATATTTCAATATATAGTATGTTGTTATAGTACCGGCATAGACGTAGTTAGATTTAAGTCGGGTTTGATGTGTTAGCGTGACGTGCTTTTGGCCTAGCCACTCCTTTTAGATAATTGACAAGTGGGCGGGGAGGGGGTCACAATATTTATAACGAGAGGCCAATTTATTGATTGCTTATGACGAGATATTATTCCTTACAACCACCTTAATCAAGGTTTTGCAATTTTGGATTTGTCGACATTATTGCCGGAAAAAGTCAAAATTAGAAATGACGAGTGAATTATCGGAGAGTCGAATTTACCAAAAATTTCAATGGTTGACCTATATATGTATTTTTTTTATGCTATATGGTATTAATGGTCTTTTATACATAATTCTAGTTGAGTGTTTGGTTCTTAGTAAAATTAAATTGAATTCTGCCAATTTAATACGAATAAGTTACTTTTAGAATTAAACTTACGGTTTCAATAATAAATTTCAAACTGATCAATTAATTTGAGTTGCCCCTAAATTCAAAATAAAATTCCATTTGTTATATCCAAATTTATTTGCGCAATAACATTGAATTTAAAGGCCTTATACAATATGTGTGTTTTGATTTAAATATTTTTAATAAATTCTAATTTAATCTTTTTTAATAAGTTCTAAGCAACGCATTAAATTGACAATTTCATGAGTTTTTCTTTTCTTATTTTGCAGTAGTTGTCTGTCTCTCGTGTTAGAATACAACAGAACTACGTAAATAAACAAATACACACTTGTCAACCGAACTTAGCTTTGAAATAGTAGTAATTCTGAAGAAATGGGAATTAAAAACACGACATCTTCTTGGCTACAAAAGTCAATCTACGCTACATCATGACTCACGAAAAGGACTAGGAGATTAACTTAAATTTATTTCAATTTACTTAATTTTAGGTGAGTGTACTAGATAGTTGACGAAATCTACCGTCCACCGTGTTTTTTCAGGAGTAGCTTCTTGGTTGGTTTAGTTTTTGTTAATTCCACGTGTCCTTTCCTTGTATTCTTATTAAATCACCTATGTAGTACCCTTAATTATATATATATATATTTCTACAACTCCCGTCGAGTATACAAAATACTGATACCTTGCCCTTTAGTTACTTCTACAAACAAAATTGAAGGTTCTAAAGTCAATTATGCATTCCAGGGCACTTTAGGTTTCCTGCCTTTAATTTTCCAACAAATTGACGTAAGACTCCATTCCATTCAACGATAATTTCAAATAGTATCAATACCTTAGCATCACATTTATAGTTTTGCTGAGTTCGAATCATTATAACCATTATTGAATAAATGATGTGTTGAGTCTGCTTTTAAATTGTTTGTGTATGTGGCATGTTTTGAAGGATGGTGAAATCAATGAACTTAATATACACCATATTACATCTAAATATACCTAAGTATATATATAAATTTGATAATATTTAAGAAGTAACCAGTTTATATGTATAGTAACTATTACATAAATTTATTTTTGAAGATAGATATAAACACGTGAAAAAAGATAATCATATCCGAACTCATAAAAAATGATAAGAAAATTTTCACATTGATTCGAGTTTTTTTTTTAAAAAAAAATTTTTCTCTTATTTTTTTCTTTTTTTAGTATCTATCCCCTTTATAAAGTAATTTATATTAATTATTTTTTGAGTATTGTAAAATTTATTATGTGCCTTCACAAGGAAGGAAACTTCCTAATTGGTTTTTGACTTAAAAGGCTAACCCATTTAAATACATGCCAATTATATACACAGTGTTATGGAAGCGAAGCTTACTGCATCCATCAAGAAAAATATTTAGAGTAGTTTGGATTTTTGGAGAACCAGGGTATTATTTAACATGTTTTTTGCAGAATTTTTGCCGAGACCAATTTTGTTTCTAAATGTTATTTAAGGAATATTTTTCAATATAAGGTTTCAAATATTTTAAAAATATCGATCATAAAAATTGAAATCTAAACTTAATTTATAAGTCGATGCGAAATAAATGACTTATAGTTAAGGAGATGAATAAAAAACTATACAATAATAATTCATTAAAATAAAGAATTTACGTGCTTGTAACTTCTTAAGACTTGACTTATTAAAAAGTTCAAAATGAAAAGAAAGATGTATCACACTAAGAAACTTGTCCATAACTGACTGGATATATATATATATATATATATAAACCTTTTATCATCTTTCTTTGAGTAGTTGAAGTAGATTTTTGATGTGAATTTTAGACAACTAATATAATAAATACATTTAGTATTTTAATCTGACCAACAATCTAATTTGCATAATTTAATCATCATCAAACCTATATTTCAATGACAGATTATTTTGATATAAATTCGGAGTCAATGAATAATCAGAAATAATATATATTTTTTTTAAAAAAAACATAACATTAATCACAAACTCTGTAACCTCACTCCTAGTATAACCCCTAGGCCAAGCGTTCAAAAAAAAGAACAGAAAAAACCTCACGTGTTTAAAGATAATGAAACAATAAAATTTCAATAAATAAATATTGATGATAGTAGTAAAAGTAGAATAAATTGAATTCGAAGAACTAAAAAGGTTTTATTCGATAAAAGAGGTGATGAAGATAATAGATTTGAATAAAAAAAGAGTTCGGTAAAAATAAAAAAAATTCTGCAAAAATTATGAAATATGACGAGAAGAGAGAACAATTCCAAATTGAGAGAAGATAGATTTTATTTACAGATATTAATTTGATGGTGAATTTAACAGTGCCACAATGTAATGTTGTGTTATAATATTCCCTCGAAGGTTTTTAACGATTAGTCATTGATTCCCATAAAGATAGGCCAGTCCTCACTAAATGTTAGACCCTAAGCAACCGGCCTTAACCCCAAACCTCCAAAGGCCCAAACCCTAATCCCCTTCTCTTCCTCTTCAAATCATAATTAACCCCAGTTGTTAGGGTTTTTCAACAGGAATCAAAAAACCCCGCCAAACTCCTCCCTTCAAATCCCGCAGAAAGTCCTATCTTCATAGCCGAAAAATCCCCAATCAGCATCAACACATCACCTGATATATCCAATCACACTTCGAATGCATGATTAAGCCGTGCCGTATTGGATTCCTAATTAGGAGCCTGTCTCGATTTTCACCTCAAATACTCGCTCCTTTCTCTTCATCATCAGCTGCTAACCCTAGATTTTCGAATTTCTCTACCGATGAAGACGAATTCGACGAAACTGATGGCAGCGCAGTTTACCGACACACTCTCTTAACCCAGCGGCCTTCTACCGTAGAATGGACACCGAATTTGGTGAATTCGATTAGTTTTATCGGTACAGTGGATCGGTGCCCGATAATTTACAGAAATGTAGGCGGTAACTTTGGTTGTTACACTATGCTCTATGCAAGAAATCCACATGATTCGAATCGCTGTTTCAGGTCAGCTTAAATGAAAGTCTGTTACTTGGTAAGCATTGTTTGGTCCCTGTAACAAAGAGTTGGGTTTTGTGAACAGGATTCAAGTGGAGACTTGGGGCAAAATGGCGAAAATGTGCGTTCAACTTCTAAAGCCAAATGATTATATATATGTTTCGGGTCATTTAGAATCTTACTCCAAGGTTGATAGGACTGGAAATCCAATGTCCCGTTATAAGGTTCGCAATTCGAATTGTATTAGATGTTTTATGTGTCCAGGCTTGCTGTTAGTTTGCTTTGACACGTCATTTAAATTTTTGAATACTGCATGAAATTATTAATGATTTATGGTTAGTTATAGTGTGTTAATTTTTTTCCTTGCTTATAAAGATGATAAACACAGATACAATAGGGTAAAGTTGGAGTAATGTTCACTTAAATTAAATGTTTAAAAGAACAACGATGACAGTATTTTCAAAAATTCACACATGATGAGTATGATAGCTGGAAGCCTGGAAGACTGCTTTGTTTCTGATTACTTTTCAAATAATCAATTTCAGATTTTCCGTGCTCTTTTGTCCACTGATGTTGAAATGATTATATTAGGCCGCATTTGAAACATTCCTATGTTTCTGGAGGGATTGAACCATACCTGTTGATTTATATTGTAAACACTTTGACAAGTCCACGTAGACACAAGCAAACACAGTCACTACCATGTGCATTCACTCACTCACTGTTACATATGCTGAGTGTAGAATGATTTGGTCTGTTCTATAGATAATTGCAAATGAATTGCATTACATTGCACAACATAATCAACGGCCAGACAGCCAAAGCCCTGAGGAACCAGAGTCTGGAACCTGCCAAAACCAGGAAGAATCAGAGTCGGAAGCTCGCCAAAGCCCTGAGGAATCAGAGTTGGAAGCTCGGCAAAGCCTTGAGGAATCAGAGTTGGAAGCTTGCCAAAACCCTGAGGAATCAAATTTGGAGACCTGCCAAAAATTCAAGGAAACAGAACCAGATGCCTGCCAAAAATACATAGAGCCACATTCAGGAGGTATCATCTTTTCTTTTATCTGTTGGAGTTTATTTGCAAATAGGTGCATTGCTGCATTGAAGGTTATAGATGGCTTATAGTTTAAGTAACAGAAGAGAAGGTATAGGTAGGTTGTTTCTCATTGCAGGACTTCCAAGTTTTTGGCATATTTAGGTGTCTGTCACTTAAAATCTTGGCATTTATTTTATTAGCTCATTTATTAATTTATTTACTAACTTGTGGAGTTGCTAATACTAGCATAGTCAACTCAGCTACACACACACATAAATTTGCCCGATCTGACTGCCTGAGTGTGTAGGGATCCATAATGTTGTTTACTGGTGTAAAAAAAAAAAAAGGAAGCATGCTGTTTGATTGGGCGATGGTTTCTTGTATGATTTATATCAGCGATTGATTTAGCATTGGTTTACTATTTTTTTTTTATTTTGGTCTCTCCTCCGATGCTTATATATTTATATCTCTTGTAACAAATTCAGCTGAAACTGGCATGGAAAAGGACAAAAGCGACCTTTGCTTATGGAAAGTGTTTTTCAGCAGCCCAGATGAGTGGTGGGACAACAGGAAAAACAAGAAAATTCCAGAGTTACCCGATTTTAAGCACAAGACTAGTGGTTATGCTCTTTGGTTGAGTCCAAATGATCCCCCATGGATCAAAAGAAAGCTTCAGTTTTTAGATTGGAAAATGGGAGAACGTTGTGAAGAGGACAGACACAAAAATCGCCTTTACTTGTGGCAAGTGTTCTTCACCAGCCCACATGAATGGTGGGATAACCGGAATAATAAGAAAAATCCACGGTCTCCAGATTTCAAGCACAAGGATACCGGTGAAGCTCTTTGGTTGAGCCCAAATGATCCCCTGTGGGTAAAAAGACAAATCCAATTGCTTGATTTAAACATGGCAGTAGAATGCCCAGAGAGAGGTGTGGGTTCTCGTTCTCGTATTTCTCCTTGGGTGTATGATTGCTGAAAATATACTTGCAGAACCTTGAAAGAGGAACGGGTATGGGAATGGAGATTTACCGCAGGAGAGCTATGTGCTTGCATTTCTTATACCTCTTGTGTTCTGGTGTATATAAGGTAAATACTAGGCTTTAAGGTAAATTACAATAACCACCTGTGTTTTTGGCCGAAATGGCATTAACCACCCCTGATGTTAAAATTTTGGTTTGGTCAAATGTGAAACAAGAACATGAAACAGGGGTGATTATTGTCACTACAGTAAAACCAATGGGTGGTCGATGTACTTTCCCACAGCATTTAATTGTCTATATAGTAAAGAATGGAATGTTTGTAATACTGGATGACTCTCTTAGGAATCAGTGTATTTCAAGCCTTCAAGCATGTAGATTGAAGTTTATTGAAATTATTAACTATCACGATCTACCTGCAGTTTTTGAAGCCATGTCTGAGACATCGGATGAAATATGAATACTAGGTGCATGAACATTGATTGCTCACAATTGAGCCATGAAGTTGTTCCACCTTGCAAACAGGCAACTGCATCTCTAAGGAAGGGAAGAGGATGCAACTGTAATGCATTTTAAGAAACCTGAAGCTCTTTTAGGAGTTGCAGTTGCTAGTTTTATGTTAACTTGCTTTGTGTCCACCAATGAAATTGTTTTTGTTTAGAGCATATACACCGGTGGCGGGTTGGTCACAGGGTGGTGTTAGATGCTATTCCAGTTGCCCCCTACCATTTATTCATTTTTGCCATAGACCGAAGTCCATTTTGTCAAGTTCCCATTCCTATTATCCGATCATTATTAATTCTTTTCCAAGCTCTCCTGGCTGGTGTTTATAAGGTTTCTGCGTAATGATGATCTTTGCATGCATGTGTCAGAAGCTTAACAGAAGAGTGTAAGCATAGACATTATTGAAGAGTGCTTCGCAGGATTTCTTGTGAAAACTACATAGCCGACCCAGTCCAAAATTTTGCTTCCACAACAAAAACAAAGGGAGCATATCGATTTTCTGTAGAATCAGTCGCGTCTGATCTTTTATTTTCAGCTTATTTTTATTTTGCACTGATATTGTTCGTCGAACTGAAATTCATGAACCAACTACCGCATAATGAAACAAAATCTATCTTATTTCTTTGAAGTTTTTAACTACACACTTCGCATCTACTGAATCAAAAAAGGGCAAATTCCAGAACGGTGGGTCAACATTGGCTCCACGCCTTTAAAAAAAGACCCACCAATTCTTCCTTGTTTCACATCTCACGTAAACGAGTCCCTGTGCTCCTCTCTCTCTCTCCCCCTCCTCTTCCATCAATTAACAACGTATCCATTGTCGCTCAGCCTTCCTCAAGTCCTATGGTCATATGGGACATTATCTATCAACACCTTGATCTACTTGACAGCCTCAGTTTTCGTGCTGTTTGTCTACTATTTCAATCAATTGCAACCCTAGAACAAACCCACAATCTTTCCCACGGATTACTTCTCCTTCCACGTGACAACAACTCCCCCCATACTCCCCAGATCTTTAACTTCAAAGATCAGACCACCTACCAAACATACCTCCCTGAGCATAATGGAAAATGGTGTTGTGGCTCTGCCTTTGGCTACTTATTCACCATAGATTTTAAGTGCAGTGAAATGTTTGTACTAAATCCACTCTCAAAATCTAAGATTTCACTGCCACCGACATCTTTATGTTGAATTAAAGGGTTAGATTATAGTACTAAAAGAGTTACAGATCAAAGAGGAAAAGTATAAAAAGTTGAGTACCACATTGTAAAAATAGGAGTTTCAAAATTGCAGCTTTTCATTTTCTATTCATAATATGTTGTTTGAGTCGAACTGAATATTAAAAATAACCGGTTTGAAGCCTTTGTTTCTAAACCGCAGGTTTGGTCTGGAAGTTGGTTTTTTGATGGTTTTTGGTAAAAAAAATCAGGGCTTTTAAAGCATGTAGTGAATCTCCTAGACAAATAACTAAAAATATCAGTTGCTGGCCACTCAACACTATAAATACAAATTAGAAAAATTTTATAATACTTAATAAGTAATTATTATATATATATATATAGAAGTTACTTCATGAGTCTATTTTTTCATGAGAGAAATAGACACGTAAAAAAAAATACATCGAACTCATCAAAAGTGATAAAAAGATTTCTACCTTAGTTCAATTTTTTTAATCTCTTTTAATTTTCTCTCTTCTTTGTGTCTATCTTTTTTCTATAAAGTAAATTGCACTAATTATTCATTGAGTATTATAACATTTCTCAATCAAATCATTTGGTTGCTTGAAAACAATCTTTTTCTTTCGCTTTGCTTTTACCAAAAACAAATCCAAGTTTTTTTTTTGAAAAAGAGTCTCTTATATTGCTATCAAATTGATTTTTTGTGGCTTTGTATTCAGCCTTAAAATGTATTTGCTTTAAGTCAAATAGCAACTACTTTTTAGTAAGAACAAATAACGCTTTAAAGATAGTGAATCTTTATGTTACAAAAACATATATGCAACATCAATTCTACCGACACAATTTCCATTTTTTCCCATTGTTGTAAGGCATGTTTTCTCTTATAATTTTAAAATGTTATTTATTGATGGAATTGAAGACAATGAAGATCGCCATCAAGTGAAAAATCAAAGGACTCGAAAAGACCATTTCAATTAGAGAGGTTTTGAGAAGTAAAGAAGATGATGTTTATACATCAAATAAGTATAGATTGATCAATAAAATAGATTGATAGAAAAAAAAAAGATCGGGACATTAGTAAGGATGGTTAACGTCATGATTTTCAATGCCAAGTTGCTAATGAATCTTTAAGGAGAATCGAGTATTGATAGTTAATAATACTTTCAAAAAAAGTTTTAAAAAATATCTTCATTGAAGTATGAAGAGAAAGGAAACTTAATCCGAGCTATCTTAAAGTAAAGGGCTATTTAGCTTAACTAGTCTAACCTTTTTAAAGTGAGGAGCTATTTAGCTTATTATAAAATTCGTGATCTAAAGAAGACAAAGTTAGGACCAATGGCTTGTAAAAGTGTTTTATGGGATATGCTAAAATTCGAAAGCATATAAACTATCGAATGTTGATTTCAATGTCGATGTGAAGTCAAAAGATGTTGAATTTGTTGAAGAAAAATACCTTATTGATTCTAATAATGATCTAGAATTGGATAAAGCATAAAACACAATTACAATCTTGACAATTCTTCTAAGAATAAGAGAAAAGCTATTAACTCACCATGTTAGGTTAGAAGAAGTCAATAATGCGGTATATAAAGTAATTGGATCCTAACTTTGAGTATGCACTAATGGTACATCTTGTTCATATCTTATGAAAGGGAATCAAGAAACCATGATCCTCAAACAGTATGTTAATCTTAAAACTCATGATGAAGCCATGAGTTCGTGACTTTAATCGATGCAACATTCTAAAAAGAAATAATAGACCAAAAACTAAATTCTATATTGTTAAACAATACTAATGCAATTGTTGAGTTGTCTTTTTGGTTTAAACAAATAAGGTTATATGAAAGTATTAAAAAGGAAATATAATAAGATGGTTCAAGTTAAACCTTCAAAGTAAGATTCATGGTTAAATGTTTTAGGTAAAAGAAAATATTGACTACTCGATACCATAATCGGTAGAAAAAATAGTTAAAGCATTAATGAATAATGTATCCTTAATGAAAGTTGTTTGTTATTTTATATCTAATGTGTTTGAAAATTACTTTGAAAGAAATTCTATGCATCTCTATGTTCTTATGAAGAGAAAAATCAAGTTAAAAAATAGTGATTTTGTATAATAAAAGCTATTGTTAGATATTTTATTGACAAGTGCAACATTCATATGTGAGGGAAGATTTGAAAAATTTGGTGTATAAGGAAACAACTAAAAAATTTTATAAAATTTTTAAAATGATAGAAAGTTTGTAAAAGACTTTGTTGCTTTAGTCATATGAATGCCTTAATGAAGATTACATAGACAAGATTTAATGCTATATTAGGCATAGTATAATAGTTTGTCAATACATGACTTACTATTTATAGTTGATAAACAAAATACAAAATGTGATAAAATTTAAGAAGTACCTAAAGTTCAAATGAAAATTTGAATATTTAGTACTATCTTAGAAATAAATATGAAAATGCATAGTAGGGGTTATAACTTGATCAAACTTTTAGCATTGAGAAAAAATATCTTGAAATTCGGACAAATAATATAATAAAAACTAATATTTCATATGATACATAAAAGTGGTTAATACTCGGATTAAAAGTTAATAAAATGGAAAAAAAATAAATTATTACGAGTAGATTTGAATTTGAAATTCAAGATTCGTAAACTTTAAAAACATATGAAGTGAATTGGTAATCTAATACAAATACACATATCGAACATCAATTTTTCCAACATAAATCCCATCTATCATATTGTTCTAAGGTATGTTTTCCCCCAACACTTTTTTTTGTTGTTATAGATAAGCGACTAAAGAGAAACAACGTATCATTCATATAAAACACCATTATCTCAAGACATCTAATCATAAGTGCCAATTTTATTATAGTTTCGATGATCAACTTTTATAGAAACCAACCATCTATAAACCCAAAGATGATAAATGGACAATTCTATCCAATATCGACCCATTGATGATTTCTCGTGTTTTAAGGGGCAACTCTAGAGTGTTAGTGATGATGATGCTTTATTAAGTTGGGATATTTTTATTATTACTTTTTTTGGAAAGTATTATTGTACTGGAAAACAATGATGAACCACTCGATGGTTTCTCCATAGATCGTTGATATCTAGCAATTTCTTATAGAGGCGAGCTTCTTAAGCTCACAAGATTTTTATTGTGGGTATAGAAGAATATGAAAAGGAATTAGACATGGATTTTTTTATACCAAACTGAATGAGAAAACAAAAAAGTGGACACCATATAGTTTGCCCGGACAAGTCATGTTCTTGGAGTTTAATTATATCATTTGTTTCTTTATCGACAACGGATCATCCCGAGTTCGAAGAGAATTGTATCCATTTTACTAATGATTTCACTAATAGGTTTTAAGGTTATTTTTAAGATTATAACCACCAAGCTATGATGATATTGGTGAATATAATATGCAAATC